TCTTGGGCCGTAACCGGGCCAAGTACGATAGCTCCGGTCGTTCCGGGTTGTCCGCCATCGGAGTAGCAGCTCCGGTACCGGACCTACGTTATCACATGAATAGTCCTCCGGCGACTCAACGTCCCGGTAGTTCTCGAGTCATAACGGATTCAACTCCGACGTTCACGACCGATATGCCTTTAACGGTTTGATATTCCCTTCGGACTTATTCTACCTCCGATTATCAGCTTGTAACCATATGCTCCGTCCTTACGATTGACAGTTCCACATGGTTCATAGTTCCGATAACTCCTTATTCCACATGGTTCATAGTTCCGATAACTCCCTATCGATACGAGCTCCGAACCGTGCCTCCGCGTATATAAACTCCTAGCTCCTGTACTCTAACTCCTTAGTTCGAATATCGACTAAGTTACTCCTCTGCTCCGACATGGACTTAGAGCGCGTAGCGACTCAAGCCTTAAAGCTTGAGTCTGGTCCGTACTCGCACTCACTCTCTGTATCTCGAAACTCTGCTCCGACTTTCTCCGACTCTCTTCCGACTCGACTCCGACAATCATCTCGCTAGGTCCGGACGTCACACCTCCGGCGTCGGACTTAGCTCCGTCTCGATCTTGACAGGCGGTCTGTACGCAAACGGACCACAGGGATGGCGGAAGGCCAGCCGCGCTGAGTTGCGTACGAACGCTGTTCATGATAGTGAGGTGGAGGCGTTCGTTGCGACCGTTCTGGAACGAACTGTGGGGGGCCGTAAATTGCTGAGTCGCCGCCCACCGTGCGAGGTGAGCCGTCATCTCTGCCGATTTGAGTTCACCATTGTCAGTACGGTACAGGCGAGGGCGTTGGCCGTCGGTTGCGCGGGCAATACGATCTTCCCAGAGGCGTAAGGCATCCACGGCGTCAGCCTTGGAGGCGAGAAGCAGGCTCCATGGGAATGCGGAGTAGTCATCGATTAAGTCAAGAGAGTAGAATACACCAGAGAGCCCGCGGACTGGAAAAGGACCCTGCACGTCGGCATAGACGACGTCAAGCCGTTTGGTTGCCCTCAACCCCTCCCTGATTTTGGGCGCAGGCGCACGTTTCTGCTTGCCCAGGATGCAATGGTCACAACGTGAGGGAGGGGGAGCCGGAGCGACAGGCATACCTTCGACAGCGCCGAGACGGGCGGCGTCCGCAACAGCCTTGTAGTTTGCGTGTGCGAATCGGCCGTGCCAAGTGCTGAGTGGGACGGCACTGGGTAGGCAGGATGGATCGACCTTGCGGCACGAGGCAAAGTGAGCATCCGCAGCAAGGTCAGCTGTTGGTGAGGCCTCGCCCAGCAGAGCATACAACGACGTGTTGATCCGGCGACCGCGGAAAACGACTTCGGCCAGGTTGTAGCGGTTAGCCAGAAGGCACTCGGAATCGCCAAAGGTGGTGAACAGCGCATTATCCGTCGCAAGCTGACTGATGGACAACAGGTTTAGCGAGGCCTTGGGGACAAATAGCACCGAACGCAGTGTTAAGGTGCGTCCTCCAATAGTCACTGGTAACTCGCCTTCCGCAGACGCCTGCACGGACGAGCCATTGAACCCGCAGATGCGTACGGATGCTGCTCGGCGGTTCTGGAGACAAGAGCCATCGTTCACAATGTGGCGCGAGGCGCCGGAGTCGGCGACGAGCGTGAAGTGGTGAGTATCGCGCTTGGGGTGCGGAACGGCGTGTAGTGCCCAGTCAACGGAGGCGGTGGCACGAGACTCGTGATCGTGGACGGCCGCTACCCCAGCGTACGCGTAAGGGTCTGGGCCGTAGTTCTCCTCTGCGCACGGCGAATCGTCCCAAGTCGTGTACGGCGAGTACTCGTACAGGCCCGAGATGGTGGGTTGGACCGGTGGGAGGGCGTAGGCTGGGTCAGAAGGCACCGTGGGAGTGAGGGGTGTGTTGTCATGTGGCGTCACATCGCTGTGGGCAGCATGCGCACGTTCGTCAGGACGAGCTCCTCCTTTCCCCTGAGGTCGTGTGGGCTGCTGCGGCATTGGACGAGGGCGATGAGGGAAAACGTTTGCAGGGAACTGTTTCGCGATATGTCCCTGGTACCCGAGATGCATACAGGGGCCGTTGCAAGTGTCACAGTGAGGGGTGCGACGATGGTCGTTGGTGACATTGCTGCGCATAGGCTGGAGAGGAGGGCGACGATCACGATCACGCCAGTTGGGTGTAGGGCGCGCGGCGTTGGCGGACGCTACCGCGGGAGTGGTTTCCCGGAGTAGAGCTTCGACGTTCTCCAGCGTGACATCTCCTTTGACTAGGTCGCCAAGTATGCGTTGACGTGTGTCTGGATAATGCGCGGAAAGAGCGTGAACCGCAATGATAACGGCCAACGCGTCGGCATTCTCCGGGAGGCCGCCGTCAATGATATCCCTGGATATGGTACGAATCTCCGAGAGTGTCGACGATACAGGTGCCGTGGGCGAGAACTGTAGTGCAAATGCGGAAGTGAATAGATCCGCGATTTGTCTTGGTCCGGAATGCTTGTGGCGCGTGGCAAGCGTGTTCCAGGCCTCAGCGGCGGTGACGCAGTCCTGTATATACGGTTGTTCCGACCTGGACACCGACGCTAACATTTTCGCGAGAAGGACATCGTCGTTCGACCTCCACATGGACTGAAGCGGACGAATGGTCGCGTCAGCTGCAACCTCAGCGTCTGTGGGGCAGTTCTGGGGTTCCGTGAGATGCGATCGGAGGCGAACACCACGCGCGTTGTTCATGAATGCGAACGACCAGCGTTGGTAGTTGCGCAGCGCGTAGTCGAGGATAGGGTGGTCCGCGTTTGAAACGGAATGGTTGATCCAACCCGCCATGGACGGGTTGTCGGGGTCGCGTGGTAGTTCGTCGTGTTTTCGTATGGCAGGGGTAGCGCTCGCGGGATTCGCGGGGGACATCTCAGGAATGGCGGTGAAAGCGTGTAACGGGGAGTTCGTTGGCGTGTTCGGTAAGTGAGGAGGGTTTTCGCGGTCCAAGGAGTGAGATGCGGTATCCGGAAGGTCTTCGGCGTTCATGCGATGCCGGGGAAAAGTGAAGAGATCCTAGAGTATCGCTTGGATTGATGGGCCAAGCCGGGGCTCATAACCTATTAGGATCTATACTAGCTGAGTCTCCGACTGCGTAGTGGTTGCAGAAGGTAGTATTCACCTATACTAGCTGAGTCTGTACATAGCAGTGTGAATACATGATATCTGGCGATGGCGGGCGTGCTTACCTCCGACTGCGTAGTGGTTGCAGAAGGAGGAAAGCGCGACGTCCCGCCGCTCTGTTTTGTTCGTCAACCGTATCGCCACTAATCTGACTTTAATGGCGGAACCTTATCCCTCACACAACTATGTTACCGTTCAGATTCCAGGGCTGGGCCTCGCGTCCACAAAAGCACCGTGGACCATGAGCTTGCTTCGCCTCCACGCTCCGGATCAGGTGTCCGGACAGAAGCGTTCTGAAGCTTTTGTCCCAGGGCCGGACACCCCGGCTGAGGCTTGAACAAGCTCACCAAGATAAGATTCCTTGCCTTACTAGCACCTTGTTCCATCCATCACCACATCATGTCTCTGGAGGCTAGAACACAGGAGCTGAGGCTGGGTTGGCAGTGGAAGGAGCGTTGCACGGCGCTCACGTTGTTCGCGGACATCAATGCCGACCACACAAGTGACTCCAAGTACCAATGGAGATATGCAGACAGCATACCATCTGAGATTCACGTTGAGCTTTTGAAGGCGGGACTCATTCCCGACCCGTATGTTGGTTTCAACGAGCACCTGGTCCAATGTGAGAAAACTGTCTTTTCGGCTGCATAGGCGAAGCTGATTGTTTTGCTTAGGGATAGGAGACACTGAATGGCTGTACCGCTTCCGATTCTCCGTTGACGTTCTTGGCCCGGAGGCTGAGTTTGTCGACTTACAACTCGAAGGACTGGATAGCATATGCGACATATACGTAGTAAGCCCCGTGTTCCAAAATTACACTGCAGTGTTCTGAATGTCGGTCAGAACGGGGTTCTGATGCTGGCTACAGATAACATGTTCCAGTCGTATTCAGTTAGTGCCTTATGGCTAAGTTGTGAAACCGCGCGCCTCAGTACTTCCTAGATCAAGCTGGATCGCTACAAACTCGACGCTATCAATGAATTACTACTTCATTTCAAATCTGCGAAAAATATCGCGCTCGACGAGGAGAAGAAGTATGGCGCCGTGCGTGCTGGGTCCACAAATCTAGGACATCCTTCACGCGTGTATGTGCGGAAAGCGCAATATGACTGGCGGTTCGTGTTCGAGGATCTAGCCCGCGTACTTCTCTGACCAGGGCATACCACAGATGGGATTGGGTTCGTCTCCGAGCTGATGAGATTCCATCATTGACTCATCCTGCTTCAGGGTCCCGAGCTCATGACGTGCGGCCCTTACCGACCTGTGAAACTTATATCTTACACAGCGCGGTTATCTTGCGTTCACGCTCGCGCATCTGTGAGACCAGACCTAGAGCCGTCTCTGTCTGTCGACTTGGACATCGACGGACGCCTTCAAGCAGTTCACTCCATCCGGGTGCGCCTGTTCGACCTTCAAGGCAACGTGCTTCGAGAACATATCTCGGCCGAGAGCCCAGCGAGCGATGAAGCCGATCGTAGTACACTGATGCACGTACCATCCGTGGTCACCTGGGGGCTTAAAGACGTCGTCCAATTGTGGTGGCCGGTCGATTACGGCGATCAAGCGCTTTACCTGGTGAACGTTGAATTACTGGGTCTTGTGAGGAGCCTATTGAAGGTTCTTGATGGAGACTCATCGTTTAGCCGTCTCGTGTAGGAAGGAGCCGTCATTGATTCTCATAATCAGAGGATAGGATTTCGAAGAATTGAGCTCGTACAGGAGCCGCTTGCGGAAGCCGATCAGTATGGAAAAGGCAGTACGTTCTTCTTCCGAATAAATGGTGTTCGGGTGTTTGCTGGTGGTATGTGCCCTCGTTTAACTCTGATGTAGCGCCATCTGGGCTGATCATGGACTCTCATTAGGATCCAACTGGATACCTGCGGATAACTTTCTGACTACAATCTCTTCTGCCCGATATCGCGCGTGGATAACACTCCTTCGTGATGGAAATCAGAATATGGTGCGCGTATGGGGTGGGGGAATCTACGAACCCGATAATTTTTACGACGTCTGTGATGGTAACAGATATTCTGTTCTCGTCACAACGCAAGCTCAATTCCTGCTCTTATCGTCAGAACTCGGCATCCTTGTCTGGCAGGACTTTCAATTCGCATGCGGAGTGTACCCTGCACATGATGATTTCGTGCAATCTGTCAAAGCAGAGGCCCAAGTCAATGTTAAACGCCTCCGCAGACATCCATCGTTGGCCCTGTTTTGTGGCAATAACGAAGGTAAGATCGTGTTCAAAATGTTATAGCCTCCACGCCGACAGCAACATCGGACATGTAGATTATCAGATGGTTCTTCAATGGGGAGATGTAGCTGAACTTCCAGCGAGGAAGATATACGAGGAAGTTCTGCCTTCTGTAGTTACTGAACTGACCGATCCGGTAAACCCGATCCCCTATCATCGAGGATCCCCATATGGAGGAGAGGGGTGGGATACCGCCGACCCAACAATTGGAGATATTCACCAATGGAATATCTGGGGCGGAGCGGAGAAACCGTGGCAGGAGTATGATCATATGGGTGGTCGTTTTGTGAGGTCCGTGAACGTAGTGGAAATTCTCTTGAACAATCTGACTGAACGTTGTCGTCAGTGAATTCGGAATTCCAGCTATGCCATGTCTACGGACTGTCATGGCATGGGCTAGGGATACTCCCGAAGGAGAAGAGAAATTGCACCCACAATCCAAAATCATGGCCCAACACTGTCGTGCCGGACAATTTGAGCGCCGTTTCGCAATTCTTATGAATGAGAATTTCCGACTGACGGAAGACCTCGAAAGGCATGTTACTATGCTTCATTTAGCTGGATGTTTGTTCACTAGGGGAGTTTAGATATGCTTATAACACGCAGCTTCTCCAAAGCGAAGCAGTCTCTTTTGCGTATAGGACGTGGAGGAGAGAGTGGAAGGGGAAAGGAAAAGAGTATTGTTCTGGAGTACTAGCCTGGCAATTGAACGATTGCTGGCCGGTGACATCTTGGGCGATTGCGGATTACTTCGTACGTGAACTTACGCACTCATAGACTGGTTTGACAGGCGTCTATTCTAGTTACGACCGAAGCCCGCCTACTATAGCATTTCTCGCGAACTACGCAAAGTAACCATCGGCGTATTCAGAACCGTACGTGTTTTATGTTCTGCCATGTTCATTCACTGTCACCATTGTTGATAGAATTCACCGAGCAGGTGCACAAGAATCGGCCGAGCGACCGGCCACGGCAGGTACTCCATCAACTCGTAACTTCAAGGCATCGCCTCATTGACGTTATCGATGCCCTCACAGACCTACGAATTTGGAGCATACCAGACTGCTGGCGCAACCATTTCGGTGTGGGCGACCAATGCAGCGCTTTCTCCGGTCACTGCAAAGGTCGAGATCACGTCGAGGTGCCTGTTGTCGGACTGGTCTCATGTTGAAGTACAAGACGGTCTCACGTTAGGGCCTAACCAATCCACCGAAATCAATTCCGACCTGCCCTGCTTCGGACCGAAAGGCACGACTGATTCTCATACCGTGGTCGTAGCAGCGCGGTTATTGGATTCGAGATCTGGCGAGGTGCTTGCTCGATATGTGGATTGGCCCCAGCCATTCAAATATCTCGATCTGCGCATAGATCCAGGGCTCTCCATCCAAGTGGACCTTCCTCCAAGCGGAGTTGACGAGACCAAATTACACATATCCTCGCAGAAACCGGTCAAGTGCCTGTTCTTCAGCGTGGACTATCCGCATCAGAGTATCACGGATCACAAAGCTCAGTCATGGGAACATGCCGAACATTTCTCAGAAGAGCCCAAATGGAGCGATAATGCACTCGATATCATGCCAGGCGACGAGCAATTGATCAAGGTTAAGGGCCTGCGAGGGAGAGTCATACGGGCGGCGTATTTAGGCCACGAAAAGGGGTTTCCCATACAATAGCTACCATGATGTATCCTTGTCGGTGTACCAAATTGCTTGGGACCGAGGATATGCGTACACATGATCTGCAACGATTGTCGGGTGATCTACAATACTGACGGTGATACCGGCGATGTCTACGAGGTCAGGCCTTCGACCTCAACGTCCGCATCTTGTCTGCCGTGATGTTACAGAAAATCTACATAGCCCGACATGGTGAAAGTTCTGCATCACCGTAACTCCCGGCGATCTGATCACATCTTTACTGTCAGGCTATCGGCTGAACTGGGTTACGAGCAACTGGTTTGTCCTTCAAGAACATAGCTTCCGATACTCCGTTGAGCATGTTACCGTAGGCAGAGTAAGACCGGCTTACCCAAAGACCCGCCACTAGCTGCTTTCGGAGAAGTGCGTTCTGTTTTGCTTTTCCACCTTGATAACACGAGGTGCTGAACGTTGCGTTAGTTGCAAGCGAGGGAGCTTGCAGCCTATTTCCTGTCCCTCCCGGAGTCCGAGCGACCGACGGCGATATTGTCTTCCCCGTATTGTCAGTGAGTTTTGCATCACAGTTCGCGGTCGTGAGATGCTAAGGCATATGCAGACCGATGCCTTCAGACGTCTGAGCCTACCTCTCAGGCATTGAACCTACCAATCTTTGTGGAACATGGTGAAACTCCTTCACTATCATGCAATACAGTACAGCTATGAACCGATATCATCCAGGCCTCTCTGAGTGGTATTCCCCAGTGACAGAAGGAACCGGACTGCATCCCCGCCCTGGATCTGCGGCCGATCTGCAACGGTATTTCCCGACCATTGATCCCGCGGGGTGGTCCACTATCTTCTATCCGTCTCGAAAGGGAGAGACGGTAGGGCAAGTTCATGATCGCGCAGCCCAATTTCTTGGAATATTGGTGCCAATCATCGAGGCAAAAATGCCAGGAGTAGAACGCGTTCTTTTGTTCAGCCACGCGGCAACCGTGATTGCCCTTGTTCGCGCTTTGCTGAACGACAGGACTATGGATCTCCGGGTAGGATGTTGTTCGTTGACAGAGTTGGAGAGGCTACCAGGCGCCAATGCGGTTTTGGGCGGGTGGAAGATCCTGAAAGTCGCGGACGGCACCCACATGAAGGAAGGGGCCTCGAGAGACTGGGGTTTTGAGGACATTGAGATCGCGAACGGCGAGGTTTGTCATTCAATGTTTGTTGTTTGCCGCACTCATCTTTCGCCATAGGTTGTTTCAGATCCCGGTTTACCTGGATCGGAAGATGAAACTGACGGGCCCGTAGGGCCCCAAGTATCCCATCCATCCGCAAGGATGTAGACTAGGAATGCCACCGCCACGCACACATGTACAATCCCATGCTTTGGGACAATCAAATAGAGGGATGTTTACACTTTGCTAAAAGATGACGTAGGCACTGGCATAACTCACGCTAGAGTCTCGGGGACTCGCGCACTTGCTGCTCTGTTCATATCTTACCCAGCGCATGGTGATGGAATTATGTTGATCGCCGGACTTCGTGGAATCGATGAACGCCAGCGCTCCGAGAAGTACGCCTATGGGATGCCGCCCGCAGATTGTGTTCTTCGTCTTCGCAAGATATGCAGCGAAGACGTTATGAGCATCCTTGGTAGCCGTGTTGGCCGGAATAGTGAGAATGTTCATCGCCTCGTGATCAAGCGCAGATATGGAGGCATGGATAGGATGGTGCTGGTACATTGTTGCTTTCGTTGACGTGGAAAGCTGGGTGGCGCGCACAGAACTCGGAACCAATGCAGGATCCGGATAGTAGTTGGTGTAACGGAACCGAGCCCCCCTTGATCCCGCAGATCAATATGTTAACATCATTTCACGCCGTGATTTTCGACTCACCAGTGGCAGAAGTCGCTGGAGACTACGCAGAAGGTGTCATCGCGGAGCAGATACGGCGCTATCAATTCCCCAAAGAGTGTTTCCTTTTCGGTGTCTATGGCGCCAACAAGTATCGGCACAAGCTTTATGTTCTGGCTAGAAACCGTCTGCATTCAACGCTCATATCCATATCGGGAGAACCGCAACTTACCCTTCAAACACCTTGCGAATGTAGGGGAGATGCATCTCGATGCTGTGTTCGTTCTCATCGGTTTCCAAGTCCATATCGCTGAACTTGCCGGTGTTCCGCAGGTCCTGAATGGCTACAGCATCTGAGCAATGATGTAGCTAATAACGAGGCATCGGCATACTCTCAAGATCTAACGGCAGATCGCCGATAGGTGTCTCATACCCGTTGCACCTGGACAAAGCACACCCATCGAGGTACACATGATGCGACGGTCCGAGGACGAAGACTCGGCGACTATGACTCTGGTGAGCAAGGCGTCGCTCGAGAGCTTCATGCACCTGGCCCTACATGCCAACGGTATCAATGCTCTTGTAGGCCCATGCGGCTGCTGGTCCCGAGTACGAGTAGCCTGCATGTCTGTGATGCATGAGATGAATTTGCGAACTGACTTATGGAGCACGGACGGGCCAATGATCGCCTTGCAGCCCTCAATGGGAGGATGGAAGTTATCGTCTTCCTGGGGCTTGACGTCCTGAAGCCACCCGGACAATTGGGTATTCAAGCGCTGTCCTACAAACTGGTTATTGGATTGGTCATTCGTTACGAGTATATGAATGAATCACTGTCGTCAGTGTACCATGAACCTGCGTGAGATGCTTCCCTAACAGTCCGGGGTGCGTATGAGAAAATATAATCCAGCTTGACCGGTGCCACGAATCTCACCTAACGGACATGGCAGCAGTGAACGGTAGGGTCTGATGACAGCTGATCGTTGGAGGGTTGGCGGTGAGATCAAGAAGAATATTACAGCATAATCGATGTCCGATATGCATAGCCACCCGTGTCACGCGCATATACGATATGAAGCATACAACGGCGCTATCGCGTTCAGGGTCGGCATGTTCATGGTAATGCAGACATATGCGGGTACATGGAGTGGCAGGGGATCAAAGAGCGAAGGAGCGAGAGGAAAGACCACCGATATCTACTCCTCTGACCGCAGACGCGCGGCAGGGTTGGTAACCTTGATACCCAAAGCCTTGGCCCTGAGAATGAGATAATAAGGCTCGGTGGACAAGGAAAGATAGAGAGGATCAGGTACGCACTTCTCAAGAATCACTGTCCGGTTGCGGCTGCTAACATTGTGCGCAATCTCGGCAGCGAAGTTTTTGTTGTGCATCAACAAGAGCTCAACATCCCGGACATTGCTGACGAGGAACTTCTTGAGGCCGTTGGGGAGAAGGTGGCGAGTCTATACATCAGGCACCGTGAGTAGGGAGCTATGCTACTACACGTTGGGCTGTGAATACCTTCTTGTTGCTGCCATAGCCAATCTAGCGGGGAATATGACATGAGCGCTGAATTGGTAACTATACGCAGTTCACGTACCTTGGGCATGGGGAGCTGTCCCTTGAACCGCCGCCTGACCCTGTTATCAATACCCTTGGGTTTTCTCCATGCCTCCTTTACGCTCTTGTAACGATCCGACTGGTGGCGCCTGCACAATGCAATGATTGAGACAAGAAGTTTTGTGGGGACAAGAACGCGTTTACTTGAAGGGTTTGGTCCGCTTCTTGACGATGGGGATGGTGGCGGCCATGGCGGTCTACGATATGGAGCAGAGTCAGCACCAGTCCAGATGAGCCATCGGGCAGAATAGAGGATGGCGCTTGTGAACTGGAGTGGATGCAAGCCAGCTCAGATGTCATCCGAAGTGCATCAAAGCCATCCATCGCTCGCGATGCATCCACCGCCTCATATCCAGCATAGGATCATTCAGAATCACCAAGAGACGAGAATGCGCGTGTATTGAGCAACAGGAAAGCCAGGCGTACTCACAGATTTTGCGGGGATGAAGAGCTTGAGGGGGGCGAGGCGGCGTCTGTCTGGCGATGACAGAAAAGGAAATTTGCACTCGGGTCTTACTCCGAGGTTAGGGTTACAGTACTTTTATTATGTATCACTGCAAGTGTCCGTGGGAGTACGCTCAGATCTCTGCCAAAGCACCGAAAGGACCGCACGCAACAGCAAAATTATTCAAACCTCTAACAGCCAGGGCAAAGCAATGGCCTTGGTATTTGCATGCACCTACATGGATTCCCACTTCCGTGTTGGGCCTGCTACTATATCCCAATCAGACGGACTGCGGGCAGTCGCCGTCAGCGTTCCCAGCGGAGCCGGTGCATGCTTCTTCCGCGGCGACTGCCCATGCTTGGTGTCTCTTCCGACTTCGTCCGCGACGCAGCTCGTGGTGAGCGACATGAGGCATACACTACATTCATACGAGAACATCACAGTTCTGAAACACTGGGTGGTTGTAACGGGGCAGCTCAAGCTGCGGGCGGCGAGGGCAGTGAAGTGCACCCAGGTTCACGTGCGTCACAAGAAGGCCCCAGAATTAAATAACTCCCTCCGATCGTACACCCGCGGAACGTAGTCACCATCTTGAACGGCTGCTGTGACGGCAACCTCTTTCCCCCACCTCTCAAAACGTGCACCAGTCCACCCTTACTTCCAAGCCCTCGCTCCTCGAATCCCTGAGCGGCGATAACCACCTAGCCCATATCCGCCGCCGCATGCTTGCTGCTCCCGCCGTGGATCTGAGTTTGGATGATGATGATGGCTGGGTGGCGTACACACCAGGCAAGCCCAAACTTCACAAGACTCCAAGCGTGAACAGTTGGGGAGTTACTGTAATGGGCGGCGGATACGACTGGAACAACGACAAGGAGCACGATGCGTCGCCACAAAAGGAAAATCAGGCCCCGACGCGCTCGACCGAAGATCTGCAACACGGCAAAGCCCACCTTCCCCGCGCTCCATCGCCATCTCCCTCCCTTTCACGGACTCTGGCAGCACCGAAAACTATGGTTACACCGGCGAGCCCGTCTCCATATTCTTCGCCTGTCCCGATCTTGACAGGAGCCCGTTTCACCATGGAGCCCTTATCGTCGTCTCCTACGAGCCGCTCACCTGCTAGTTCGCGACCTATATCTCCTGCCCAAAGCGTACCGCCGTCCCCGGGGGCCGTGCATCGCGCTTCATTATCGCGATCGCCTACAACATCGCGACCCGGTACACCACGCCCAAGGCGCAGGTCATCTCAACAACGGGTTTCACTCATCGCGGGTCGCGTGTCGATATTGCCACCCGAGGCGGCGTCGACCCTCATCTCGCCTCAAAAGCTCACCAGATCGGGCAGCGCGCGTAGCTATCTGAGCGTCGCGTCGAGCGCGGGGCCGCCTACGCCAGAACCCGAGCGAGAGCAATTCCTTGGTGGTCGGAGCATCTTGGAGTTCGTAATAGAGAAAGAGATAGGACGCGGTGCTTACGGCGTCGTTAAGCGTGCAAGAGAGATGAATGACGACGGCTCATTAGGGGCAAGCGCGTTCAGCCTATTCGCAACAGATCACGAACTTACTGTTCTCCCTCAGCCGCCCCTGGTAATCAAGCAGATCATCAAGTCTAGAATATTAGCGGATTGCTGGAAGAGGCATCCCAAGCACGGAACGATTCCCATAGAGATCTACGTCTTGAACGCGATCTCATCCACGACCTACGTCTTACCCCCGCGTCGACCATGGCATCCATTACGTCCCACCGCGACGTCCACGCTTCCTAACGCGATGCCGCGCTCAGAAGGAGATCCCCCCATTGAAGATGATTGGATTGAAGGCAAAGTCGTAAATGGTCATCCGAACATCTGCCTTATGTTGGACTTCTTTGAGGACGAGCAATATTACTATATGGTGATGCCATCAACGACCATGGAACCCACCGACGAGAATACATCTCCTCCTTCGGATCTCTTCGATCTGGTAGAAAGTTATCCTCAGGGTCTTCCGCCAGACATGGTACGAACCTACCTCGGCCAAATAGCGGACGCCATGGCGTTCCTGCATGCAAAGGGCATTGGTGAGTTATGTCAAGTACGTATTCCGTTCACCGAGCTCATAATCCGTAGTACACCGTGATATCAAGGACGAGAATGTTGTTCTCGGTCCGCACGGCAAATGCATTCTGATCGACTTCGGGAGTTCAGGTCTTGTTCGCAGGAACGGTTGGGACACGTTCAGTGGCACGTAAGTACGAGGTACTTGCAATGAGAACGGGCCTGACTGTTTCTCAGGCTCGATTATGCTGGGCCAGAAATTCTACGAGGCGAGCGTTACCATGGCAAGGAACAAGACGTCTGGGCATTCGGCGTAGTTGCGTACGTGTTGCTGTGCGGCGAATGCCCCTTTACCACTGCCTCAGAGGCACAGGACGGTCTCACGTCTCCTTTCGCGAACGCATCGATTGCCCTGGACGAGAGATGCGGCGAAGATCACGAAACGGAGGGCTTGGAAGCAGACGGGGGTGGTGCTCTGGGCGATGCCGCGGCATTGGTCAGAGCGTGCTTACAGGTTGAACTCAGCGCTCGACCTACCTTCGAACGGATACTGCAATCGCGTTTCCTCATGGGAACTGGCGGGTGGGGCGCAGGGGAAGCATGAGACAACGCGGACGATATCCTCGCGGCAAACTACTCCGGTGCCAAGTAAGAGAAGAAGGCTTGAATCGTACAAGTGTATCACCAGCGAAACCAGGTATTTAAACGACACGACACAGATACAGTTATAATCCTGTGTGTATGTTAACGCACAACGTGTATACTAGTATTAAGCACGATATGCATGAATGCGCTTTCGGAACTTTCTGCATCCGCGTGGGTGGTGTGGCAGTGCCGAACTTGGAGTTGGGTTGAGGGGAGTCAGCGCATCGCCACCCCGGGCTAGATCCGGACCTCCGTGAAGCTCAGTACTGTACAGCACACTTCGTGGCCTCCGAGACGTAAGAAAGGTGCGCGAAAGCCCTGGATGTTTCTCGATCTTTGCACAGGGGCACTACCTGAACGCAAATTGCGCAGAGTTACCCCTTGAAGCGCCTCCAAGTAGCGCCGATGCTTAGCAAGACGCCCCATGCTTTCAAGCACCGGTCCCGTCTATAAGGGTGGAAAAACTGATGATAAGATTCGGGGGTCCGCGATGAGCCTGGGAAAGCAAAATTTGGGAGAGAGAAAAGGCCATCTGTTGCTCCCTGATCTCTCCCTCCGTCTCTTCCCTGTATCCCTTTCCTCTCCTTGTATTTCTTAACGATCTAAGTGAGTTTTTGACTTCATTGAACATCCTTCTCTGCGCCATCCGCTCTTTAACCGTCGTATCGCTTATATCGGTCGGCTTCGAGCGAGATAAAGCACCTTGATCCGCAGCGAGTTGTCGAACAGCGCACTGACATCGTATCGCCGTAGAACAACCACAAAATGGGAAAGGAGAAGACTCACGTCAACGTCGTCGGTGAGTGCAGCGTTCGATGTGATTTGATCGCACTTTATCTAACGTGCCGCTAGTCATCGGTCACGTCGACTCCGGCAAGTCGACCACTACCGGTCACTTGATCTACAAGTGCGGTGGTATCGATAAGCGTACCATCGAGAAGTTCGAGAAGGAGGCTGCTGAACTCGGCAAGGGCTCCTTCAAGTACGGTAAGCCAAATTTTCGATATGTTGGTCGGACCGAAACTAATATGTGTCCCCGCCTCTTCAGCATGGGTGCTCGACAAGCTGAAGGCCGAGCGTGAGCGTGGTATCACCATCGATATCGCCCTCTGGAAGTTCGAAACCCCCAAGTACATGGTCACTGTAAGTTTTTGTCGTTTGAGCGCCTCACGATCGGCAATTGAGCGCACTGCAGGTCATCGATGCCCCCGGTCACCGTGACTTCATTAAGAACATGATCACCGGTACCTCGCAGGCTGACTGCGCTATCCTCATCATCGCCGGTGGTACCGGTGAGTTCGAGGCCGGTATCTCCAAGGACGGCCAGACCCGCGAGCATGCCCTTCTTGCGTTCACCCTTGGTGTCCGTCAGCTCATCGTCGCCGTCAACAAGATGGACACCACGAAGGTTAGCAGCACTCAGACAACACTCCTGACAGAATGCTAATAGCCTTCAACAACAGTGGTCTGAGGACCGTTTCAACGAAATCGTCAAGGAGACGTCGACCTTCATCAAGAAGGTCGGTTACAACCCGAAGGCTGTCGCTTTCGTCCCCATCTCCGGCTGGCACGGTGACAACATGTTGGAGGAGTCGGTCAAGTAGGATATATCGCTATCGTACTCATCGCAGATACTGATCGCGTTTTGCAGCATGCCGTGGTACAAGGGCTGGACCAAGGAGACCAAGGCCGGTGTCGTCAAGGGCAAGACCCTCCTCGATGCCATCGATGCCATCGAGCCCCCGGTCCGTCCCTCCGACAAGCCCCTCCGTCTCCCCCTCCAGGATGTCTACAAGATCGGCGGTATCGGAACGGTTCCCGTCGGCCGTGTCGAGACCGGTATCATCAAGGCCGGTATGGTCGTTACGTTCGCGCCGTCCAACGTCACCACAGAAGTCAAGTCCGTCGAGATGCACCACGAGCAGCTCGAGCAGGGCAACCCCGGTGACAACGTCGGCTTCAACGTCAAGAACGTGTCCGTCAAGGATATCCGCCGTGGTAACGTCGCCTCCGACTCCAAGAACGACCCCGCCAAGGAGGCCGCATCCTTCAACGCCCAGGTCATCATTCTCAACCACCCCGGTCAGATCGGCGCCGGCTACGCACCGGTGCTCGACTGCCACACCGCGCACATTGCCTGCAAGTTCGCGGAGCTCATCGAGAAGATCGACCGTCGTAACGGTAAGGTGCTCGAGGCGAGCCCGAAGTTCGTCAAGTCAGGTGATGCGTGCATCGCCAAGCTTGTTCCCTCCAAGCCGATGTGCGTTGAGACCTACAACGAGTACCCACCCCTCGGTCGTTTCGCCGTCCGTGACATGAGGCAGACGGTTGCCGTCGGCATCATCAAGTCCGTCGAGAAGACCGACAAGTCTGGTGGCAAGGGTTCGTGTTGTTCTGTAGGATTTTCTTCAACATACTTACGCGATGCGTTATTTCAGTCACCAAGTCCGCCGAGAAGGCCGCGAAGAAGAAGTAAATGCTGGAGCCGTCGTAGACTTGTATTTTTTCTTTTCGGATCTTCCGGTCTCGCTCCCTCCGCATATATTCCCTCATTCTCGCTGCACGATGTCACGAACCATATACTGTTGTAACTGTATAGCGTCTGTATACTGCAACGAAGACGACGGCGGTGGTCAAATGCTGGCTTCCGTCGGGGTTACACTCCAAGGATACTTTGCATGATTAAGGAGTTGGTGAACATGTACTATGCGGTAGCTACATGGAGTCCCATCTTTGCCTGTCAAGCGAACATGGGGAAATTGTCCACTTTAGGATCCCTACATGTCGGTTTCTCGAGGGATGATTCTCCCTAGCAGATCGGAAACCATGCTCTTTGAGCGACCGAGCGATGTAAGGCGCTAGCTCGCTCTGGTCGGCGATGACCGTGCGGATACGCCTGTTAGGGTCGGCCGAGAAAGCCTCCTTGAGACAATGAACAAGGAGGTCGTCTTGGATCTTCGTTTTGCGGTACTGTTCCTCGACAAAGAAATGACGAACGACCGCGTCCGAAGAGGTGCCGTCCGTCAACGCGCCCTCCGTCTGCTGCCTGTCCTGGATGACGGCCTGTGAAGTTGAGTCGGGCGAAGCATCGATCGCGATGAGGCCGATGACATGTTCGCCGAGCTCTAGGAGCCAGAAGGCGGAGGAGGGCGAGCGAGAGTAAAACGCCTGGATATCTCTCATGTCCGGGCGGCGCATGGTCTCCGACAGCAGGTCCTCAAATGACGGTCGGTTATACCTGACGGCGGAACACAATCAATTTGAGAATTTGGTGAGTCGATGGAACCCACGTACCAGTCCGAGGCGAACATAAGAGGCACGGCCATAGCCGCGAAAGCGGGCAAAGGACGAAGGTAGGCCCAGAGGCCCTGGCCCTGCTGGGGCCACCACCCCATATACTGTATCATGACAGCGGAGAGGCCGATCCAGAGGGCAATCATCAAAGGGTTGGTGCACACTGTAACGGCTGTGAGCACGCGACCACCTCAAAGTTCGACGAGAGGCGGATACCTCGGACGTTGGCGGTCGCGAGCCCCTCCATGTTGACCTTGCCCACGAGGAAGCGGACGAGCTTGTCGTCGGCGGGTTCATAGCGACGAATGCGGGCTTCGACAGGCATCGCGAACCAGGAACAGGACAGTAGTGCTGAAGGCCTGCGCCATCGCCGTCGAGACTTTTTGAGGACAGGAGAGCAAGCGTAAGGTACGACGAACGTGCGCGCTGAATCTGTCCCCAACATTGATTTGGGGCGCCTGGCGCGTCGGCCACGATCGCCGCACAATCTTATCTCTCTGTTGGGTACGATGCTGATCACCAAAGAACACCACGACGTCCCGCACGCGCTCAACCCCAATGGCCGCCCGATCCGCATATTCGTGATATCCCCCAACGTCCCCGGATATCCGTCGGCCAAGTTCCCAGGCGCGCCAGACTAGACATTCGTGCTCACACTAGGCTCACTGTGGGCTGATCTTGCTAGGCGTCGTCGTCTTCAGGTAAAGCATATCCACCTCGGATTGGATGCCGTACGAAAGCGAACCACGTTCCAGCGAGATCTATCAGGTCACCGGGCCTGTCGAACGATTCGCTGGCCAGATCGCTAGTCAAGGATATGTCGTCGGTCCGTCGCTGCTTCGTCCGTGCACGTCCAGAATACGTACAATCGCATCACAGCGTGCCCTTCGAGCTTTCATGAGTTTGAAGGACCTGAACCTATCCCGTACGACGTCGAAGGTTCGTCATTCTCCATCGCTCAATGGATACTGGGTTACCGACTTCGACAAGGTACCGATCGCGGGAACAAGTACAAGGTTCGTGTGCAGCGCGCCACAATGAATAGATTCCTGACGTAAACTTCCAGATTGAGAAAGAGGTTGCCGCATATGACGAGGTATGCTGAAAACATCACCGCGGATCCCAGTCGTTGATGTTCACGTCCCGCACTGGAAGGATGCAAAGCTGTCCGTGGATCTTCTCTGTTCGCTCAAGAATTGCAACGGACGGATAGCAGGTTTGTTTTTTTCATAAGTTATGCATACTTCCGCTCATGCTGTATCATTTCGCAGCTACCGGAATGTGTCTTGGAGGACATTTGGCACGTAAAATCTATTGTGACCCAAGTTCCTCCTGGCTCATATCGAATGTATGCTCCAGGCGTTCCGCGTAGGTACTGCCTTGGCTGAGATCGACATGAAATAACCAGCCCTTCCAGGCTGCGTTTGATCCCCGCGTGCTTTCCTCCGTATGCTTCTTTGCGACGGACATCCACAGCGCTACCCTCGGCAAGGGCAAGAAAGACGATTCGCTCGAGAAGGTTCGCAAAGGTGATCTCACGGGCAAGGGCGAGTTGGTTGTGAGCATACGCTATCCTCGCCATCTTCACTTGGGAGCGATACCCCTCTCCTAGATGATCTTCGGCAAACAAGACACCCACGTCCCACGTGCCGGCCGCGACCTCATCCGCAAAGAACTAGAGGATGCGAACGTTATCGTTTCGGTGAGCATGGATGCGCTCGACGTGCGCTTCCTTACTAACAATTCTCAACCTAGTTCTTGGAAGTCCAAGCTCAGCATGCGTTCATCCGCGACGAGTCCTCCAAGGGCCGCTGGGATGCCGCACTAACTCGCTCGCTGTTTGGATATATGCTCGAGGTGTTCGAGCGCACAGTCGGTAGGGACCTAGGACCCAAGGCTGGGGGGCCCCAAGAAATAGAACACGTCTGCTGAGTCGACCCGAATGTAACGCGCGACCAATTCCAATCAATTGCGAGGGGCAAATATCACAATTGCGACATGATTTCGTGTGCTATAGTCTAACCCGTCCGAAGATGAATGAACCCTATTCCCGAGCGACCTGTTGACACAGCGGTCCTCAGTTCTTGACGAAGGTGGTCATGCCCTGCAAGTTAAACCCGTTGACGGTCAGGCCAGCGGACTTGGCTGGGCCAGCAATGTCCAAGGTCTGAATGCCAGTGGCCTGGCCTGGCGCATCGAGCGAGAGAACATCGATCTGCGTGGCGTTCGCGCCGAGCACGTACAGGAAGCTGCGAAACCGTCAGTCAGGCAATCCGTTACATTAAGATGGCGAGACCACGTACTCCTTGCCGTTAACAGTGGCGATGGCGTTATCGATCGTGCCAGAACCCGCAATTTGGGGGTACTGCTTGACGATCGTGCCTTTCAGGTTCTGGTCGAGGTTGACCTCGGTCACCGTCGCGGTGCCGATGTCGGTCAGGTAGAAGTTGCCCGTCTTCTCGCTAAGGCTGCTCCAGCAGGTGGCGACCTGGCCGGAGATGGGCACCGCGCTACTCTTCCCGCTCGCAGCGACAGCCTGCTGCGAGTTTCCGCCGGACTGGACGCCGGAGAAGTCGAAGACGTCGAAGCCGAGACCAGCGTCGGTGGCGAGGATCGCGTTCTTGCCCGGGATGACGGTCATCGAGAAGGGGAGGAGGCCGCCCGAGGCGGGCGCGACCTTGGTGAAGTCGGCGGAGAGGGTGTCATCGTCAGCGACGGACCAGACGGCAAGGAAACCGGGCTGGGGAGGGGTGCCCTTCACCGAGGCGATAAGCGACTTTTCGTCCTCGCTGAAAAGCAGCTGGGACGCCGTGCCGGCGGGGCCAGTAGCGGGCGTGGTCTGGTTGATGCCGAGGGGGCGGAGCGTGCCCGGGATCGTAATCAAGCCGAGTTTCTGGTCGACCTTGTAGCAGCTGAATTAATGACCATCAGCCTTGCGCATCGCATTGCTGGTTGTGTCTATCACTCACTTGACACCATCCACTTGGCCTCCGTTCAGGACTGTAAGGCGGAATCAGATTTAAGGCCCGTAAGAGCGACGTTCAGTTCTGTGACATACCGCAAACTTTGTCGCCGTTCTTGTTGATGGCCAACGACATAGGGAACTCGCCCTCCGTGGACACGGGTTCTCCAATCATCTGGATCTCTGATGGGTTCTGCGGGTTGATGGCGAACACTGCAGCGGTGTCGGAACCAGGCTGAAAAAACGTGATTTAGCCTTTCAGCCGTTTAGCAGACAGGGGTTTGCACGGCGTACGTTAACCGTGGCAAGGATTTTGCCGGTCTGGGAAGCTTTGATGGAGGCTTGCGAGAATAAACCGTCTGGGCCGTTAGGGTCGGTGTTGCCGTGCTGACCGCGGCCACCCGCACTGGTGGCCCTAGCAAGGGTCTACCGAGATCTTGGTCAACCTCTTCCGGATGCTACTTCGAGGCTGAACCACGTACCAGTTTGCCATCCGAACCGATGTCGGCAGATACAACAAAGTTCCTGTCAGCTTCGTTCGTGATGACTGCAACGTCATGATTGAGCGAGCTGTGTCTAAACGGCTGAGTCGCTCTTCTTACAGTACGCTGCGCCGACAGAATTGCCTTTGAGGCCTCCGTTGTTCATCTGAACGTGTCCCCGGTCACCGCCCCGGCTGGCGGGAGCCGCAGAAACGCAAGCAGCAGAGACAAGGATAACAAGGGAAGCGAAAGACTTGGAGAACATCATCTTCGTAATAAGGAGCGGATAACAAAGGAGCAACGAAAGGAAATAATGTCGAATTGGAGAAGGCGCGTTTTAAAAAAGTGAGCTCAGCTCTGACGAAGGGGACGAGGGGCTTTGGTGAAGACCGACCGGGGTGAAGAACCGGACACCGAGGTGCTCATGCTCTTATACATGCAGTAGTGCCCGGGCCCGGTGACGGAAATGCGCGCGCTTCCGTGTGGTGCGGAATCGCAACTAACTCCATGTGTTGCACTGCTGAGCATAATCTGTTGCACGCATTTGTTTCTTTGGCTCCCTCCCATGCATGTACCTTGATGGTGAGAACGAGAGATGTGCATCGCAAGGCAATCTGCGTGTAGGTGTAGGTCGCGGTCTAATCACGTCGATCCGTCCCCGAACCAGATTCTCTAGGAAGACGCTGTAAATGAAGCATAGCACACTGGCAGCTCCTCGAAGAACATTGGTGCACAGCCATGCTTGCCTAATGATGCCGGGCGTCGTCTCAATGGAAAGGAAGCACAAAACAATATGTTGTAGGTGTCCATTGGTTGATATCAAGTTCGGCGTAGTGAAGCACTGGGTTGCAACTTCCTGGTTTCGTGGAGGTCGTCAAGCAAGAACGTTGAGGCGGTGCCGCAGCTGTACCGGAAGGATGGTTGCCGACTTACTCTCTCTGCTGACCGATTCGAGGCAGCAAGCGCGGCCGTTTTTCTTATTGCGCTCATCCACTGCGCAGACATGTATACCGGTCCTCAGACATTGCCTCGGTTCAGCGTCGAAATCGTCAACAATATTGCTCTTCTGCCTGAGCTACGCTCCATCTACGCTCGTCGATCCGCAACGCTCGGTGGCAAAAGTCTTTGATTGGACCGACAACGTACCGGGTTACTCGGATACGTACTTCGATCCTTGCCAGGCCATCATCGATGCAGTAAATGCCGAAGGTATACTATCCCCGAAAGGTCCATCGACCCGGTCTGATTTTGTGCCGTCAGCTCCATCGGAACGACTTTCGGTCGTGATCGACAGCATAGACACGCTCGTAGCCGACGTTGAGTCCGATGCCGCGGTATACCGCTTCGTGTCGTCTTTGTTCGCGTTGGTCCGCTCACCACCGTCGTCCCGTCTGATCATCCATTCAACCGGTGCATCCAACCTGCCCGCACTATTGAGCACGACGAGATTTTCTGCGAGTCTCACATCGATCACGGCGTACCCTACTGCGGTCCTCGACCATCTCGCGTCTTCGTACTTGACCCCGCCGCCGCCTCTCTCGCCGCCAGCGAAGTTCTGGCGCGTCTTCTTACCCCTTGCGGAAAGGCAGCACGATGTAAATCGTTTGGTTTTCGATCGCGACGGTGAAGGTTCGAGCACGATTCGTGAATTCGTGATCGAAGTTCTCGTCAGGGGTGGCGACCCGTCTGGTCGGAAATCTGGCGGCCATCATGGCGTACAACGGGAGCTGCAAGGATGGAGCGTCAATGGCCCATGCGAATTGAAGGCACTCAAAGCCTTACAACACCTGTTCGCAAAGACACCAGCCAAGGAGGAGGTAAGGATCGTGATTGAAGCCATGCCTGTTTGACTGACCGATAAACCGTGCAGCAGGTGGTACACGATCCGACGGCGAATGTGTCGTTCAACCTCAACCTGACGCCTTCACAACAAAAATCCAGGGCCCAGGTCCCACTTCCATACGCACACGAAGGTACAGAACAACATTGTATCCAATGTCACCGACATGATATTCAGATGCTCAAAACAGGTAAACCAGTTGTGTCGCAAGTCCCAGCAGCCATATATTATGACCCAGACTCGGCGGACGACATCGACGACGACGATCCCGACGAGGACCTGGACATCTAAGTGACAGGCGCGGTATCGTACCTCTACAAACCTTCATTGCGGGGTGTCCATTGCAGAGAATGTGATGTTTTTCCAGGCGCCGGGCCGATGATCCGTTGACGCTCAATCAGAGATCACCCTTGACGGCCTTAGAGACGCTCTCTGCGAAGTACTCAATGTTGCCGCTGTTCAGTCCGGCCATAGATATACGGCCTGGAAACGAAAGTTCAGATTGCGCTTGACGTGATTAGTGTGAACAACCTTACCGTCAGCAGTCATGTAGATGTGAGCCTTCTCAGCAAGCGCCTTGGTCTGGGGCTGCGTAAGACCAGTGAAGCTACGAGCACAACATCAGTAACATGCCAACCGGGACATATGACGATGGTGGGTTGCTTGCCTGAACATGCCAATCTGGCGCTTTATGTGGTTCCAGTCGCCGGGGGTGTTAAGCGCAACTAGACCGTCGTAGAGCTTGTCACGCATGCTAATGATGCGGTCCGCCATGCCCTTGACCTCGCCCTCCCATTGCTTATAAAGCCCAGCGTCGCCAAGGATAGTGGCCGCAATGCGGGCACCGTGGAGGGGCGGGTTGGAGTACATCGGCCGGATGACGATCTTCAGCTGCGAATCCACGCGCGCCTTCTCGTCGGGGTCGGCGGCGATGAGCGAGAACGCGCCGACACGCTCGCCGTAGAGGCCCATGTTCTTAGCGAACGACTGGCAAAGCGCGGTCTGGTGGCCCTCGGAGACGAAGTGGCGAACGGCGAACGCGTCGCGGGTGGTGTCGCCCGAGGCAAAGCCCTGGTAAGCCATGTCGAAGAAGGGGAAGAGCGACCGCTCCTTGATGATATCCGAGATCTCCTTCCACTGCTCCGGGGTGGGATCCACGCCGGTCGGGTTGTGCGCGCACGCGTGGAGGAGCACGACGGCGTTCTTGGGCGCGTTCTGGAGATCCTCCTTGAGCCCGGCGAAGTCGAGGCCGACCGTCTTCTTGTCGAAGTAGCGATAGCCGCGCACTTCGAACCCGGAGTCGCGGAAGATGGGCGTGTGGTTGCCCCACGAAGGCACGGGGAGGTAGATCACCTTCGCGTGCGGGTAATGGCGGGCCATGAACGCGCCACCGATCCGGAGGGCACCGGTGCCCGAGATGGACTGGGTGACCGCAACCTATTCGAAGACGGGGTGAATGTGAATTTCACCCCGCATTCCCGCCACGACGCACCCTGTTTTCGGCAAGCGGCGTGCTGTCAGGGCCGTAGGCGAGCTTGGCAGCGAGCTTGGTGAAGCTGGCGTCGCCGGTGATGGGGAGGTACTCCTTGTCGAGCGCGCCGGCCAAGCGCTTCTCGGCCTCCTTCACGCTGGGGAGGACGTACGGCTTGCCGTGCTCATCGCGGTACGCGCCGACGCCGAGGTTGATCTTGCGCGGGTCCTTGTCGGCCTTGAATGCCTCGGTGACGCCTGCGGGACCCGTTTTATCCAGCAGCCGCCTCGCGCGACAGCTGATGACGTACCGAGAATGGGGTCCGGAGGTCCGGCGGGGACGGTCGACCAGGTGCTGAGACGGAGAGCAGAGGCAAGGGTGCGCTGCACCGTGACCTGGCGGCGTGCGACGGCCAGCATATTTGTTGAGAGAAGGAAAAGGCAGAGGAAGAATAGATGGCTAAGAAGGGACTGGCGACCCCACCCCCAAGGTCAAGCTCGAATTCAACTGATTCAAGTCCGGGGATAATGCGGAAGGCGGCCGGTCTGCCCCGACCACCTGTGTAAATACGACTCGGAAAATCAGCTCTGCATCCGCTCCCAGGCGCTCTAGGTCCGGGCACACTCCGCCTGGACGCGGTTAACAGCCTGGCTTGCGTCCAACCTGAAATGAAGGAAACCGTGCATAAGATCGGCTACAGTATCCTGCCCACCCGAGCTTACCCGGCTCGGAGGCAGATAAGATCGCGTTCATATGTATCAAGAGATAATCTATAGCTCGAGTCAAGACCAATCACTTTTACTCGAGATCCAGTCACCGCGACTTCATCCAAGTTTTGATCCTCACCACCATGGCCGACCCCGCTGCCTCGGTGCCTACTCCACCAGACACTCCAGAGCCTCAGGTGCAGGCTATCGGCGAGGCGTCCGTACTGCGTCGCTGTTCGCTATCCCTTTCGACTGAACCGAGGACTTTAGAGGTGCCGCCGGTCCGTCCAAGAACGAGCTTAAGAAGCGCGCAAAGGAGGCAGAGAAACAGAAAAAGGCTGCTGAGAAGGCTGCTCGCCAAGCGGAGCTCGCGGCAAAGCAAGCCGCCTCGGAGGTGGTGAGCATCGTCTTTGGTACATCCGCACGACTACAATATCTGAACTGGATGCACGCAGGACTTCGCGGCAGACTTCTATGGCAAGCTCCCGCTCAATCGGTCGCAATCGCGACCCAAACAACAGCGCGTCTCGATCGCCTCGCTGAACCCAAACATGGACGGTCAAACCGTCCTTCTGCGTGCGCGCGTGCATACATCCCGCGCGCAGGGCAACAAAATGGTGTTCTTTAACCTGCGCCAGCGCATGGACACCGTCCAAGCCCTGCTCACCGTTCAGCCGGAAAAGGTTTCGAAGCAGATGGCCAAGTGGGCTGCCGGCCTCAGCATGGAGAGCATCGTGCTCGTCCAGGGCGTGGTCAAGAAGAGCCCTGAGATCATTAAGAGCGCAACTGTCGGCGATGTGGAGATCCACATCAGCCAGGTAATGAGAGATGAAAATCATGTACCCATGCGTTACTGACAACGTTCTTAGATCCATCTCGTCTCTGGCCTTGAAACGGTCCTGCCTTTTACCATCGATGATGCGTCGCGTCCGGAATCCGATTTCGAGGGCCCGAACGTTCAGTTCAACAGGGTACTCCTCGAGACCCGATTGAACAACCGCATCGTCGATCTGCGCGTATGTATCGTCCATTCGTCATTCGGCATATATCAAACCTCACGTATATGCTTCCAGACACAAACGAACCAATGCATCTTCCGGATGCAAGGAGCGATTGGGGATCTTTTCCGCAACTACTTGAACGAACAGGGATTCACCGAGATACACAGCCCGAAACTCCAAGGCGCCGCCACCGAGTCCGGCGCCTCCGTCTTCAAAGTCAGCTATTTCAAAGGTGACTAAGTCGTTCACGACGCCGTTTCATTCGCACACATGCGACGATTTCGGCTGACTCCTGTGGCGTCCTACAGGCAGCGCGTTCCTCGCACAATCTCCGCAGCTGGCCAAACAGATGGCCATCGCCGCCGACTTCGAACGGGTGTACGAGATCGGGCCCGTCTTCCGCGCCGAGGACTCGAACACCCACCGGCATTTGACCGAGTTCATCGGCCTCGATCTCGAGATGACCATCGAGGAGCATTACCACGAGGTCATGGAACTCCTCGACGGCCTCTTCATCTCCATCTTCCGCGGCCTTAAGGAGAAGTACTCGAAGGAGATCGAGCTCATTGGAAAGCAGTTCCCAGCGGAGGAATTCAAATGGCGCGAAGGTCCCGAAGGAACTCTCAAGCTGACGTTCGCAGAGGCCGTTGAGCTCCTGGCGGAGGACGGCGTTCCGAGGGAAGAATTGGATGACATAGAGTAAGGGCTATCTTACGTTTTCCGTGTGGCCGATCTGACGGGCGGTCTCCGTACAGCACCACGAACGAGAAGCGTCTGGGGAGGATTGTAAAGGCGAAATATGACACCGATTATTTCATCATCGACAAGTTCCCTCTCGCGCTCCGTCCGTTCTATACCATGCCTGACCCCAATGACCCGGTAAGTAGCGGATCCCAATTGAGATGCCTTCCCGTACTTACCCGCTCGCTCGCAGACACTCTCGAATTCGTATGACTTCTTCATGCGTGGCGAGGAGATCCTCTCCGGCGCACAGCGTATTCACGACGCCGCATTCCTCGCCGAGCAGATGCGCGGAAAGGGTATTGAGCCCGCTTCCATGCAGGCCTACTTGGATGCTTTCAAGCTTGGCTGCTCGCCCCACGGTGGTGGCGGCATCGGTCTCGAGCGAGTGCTCATGCTGTTCCTGAAGCTTAACAACATCCGACGAGCATCGCTGTTCCCGAGGGACCCCAAGAGACTCGACCCTTGAAGTAGACTCACTTCTCAACAGCCCAAATGTATTAGTTACCTGTCTGTGGATGCACTCTGAGGTCATGCGTCATCTCTGTCAGCTGTCATGTTGAAAGTTGAATATTCCAAGATCCAGCTGAACTTTCCATGGAGAACATAACCCTTCATTAGCTCCATCGTCCTTCAACGCATTTCCATATACTTAGGCAGCCTAGAGACATGATCGACACGATACCAGAACTGGCCTTTCACGTACCCATGTTATCTCTACGCCGGTCTGAGGACGATACCCCGCACAACGCTCAATGCATTGACGCCAGCGCCGATTGCGTCGACCGCCCGCCCGCAACCCTCCCCGTCGACCTTGGCAGGAACCCGTTCGCAGTCCACGGCAACTCGGACGCAGCCGCGAGGGCACACACGCGCAACCTTCTTGGGATCATCTTCATCGCTGTCTTCTTGGTCGTCGGAGTAACGCTCTACTTAGTTTTCGGCAAAGGCTTGCGAAGGCGCAGAGCGCTAAAGGGCGACGACCCGGGTGGCATCCATAGTCCGGGGACCGGCATCGAGGAGCGAAGGCTCCAGTGGGACAAGAATGGCGCTCCCGTGCCCAGTATTCAGGTATCGCTCAGCGACGCACCGTTATGAGGTCCATACAAGGCTAACGACAACCCTGCTCGTGGGCAGGTTATACCCGCCGACGAGAGTTTAGCCAACGGCCGGGAAATAAGCCTAATTCTCGGCGGCCACCCGGGTTCTGGCGAAATATTTAAGGTCTAAAACATCTCCGCTCATGTATTAGTCCATCCATACGCCCGAATCAAAATACCCTGAGAGATGAAACACGACAATACGGGTGCAAGAGTATGCACGCGAGGGATCGCCTGTGCCAAGAATGGTCCGCTCGACACACGCTGCGCATGACGATGACCTGGATCAGTTTGACCCACTCTCTTCTCCGGAACCCTATATCGGAAGATTTCAGTTTGCTGTTCGTGGATGGGACAAAAAACCCGGAGCGGAATCGACTTACCCCTGCTGCGGCCTCCGAGGCGCTCCCGCGAAGGGCGTCACCAATAGCGATGTTCTGAAGGAAAATGAGGATCACGGTGAGAATCTCGCATGCTGGCCTTGGAGCGTACACGCTACTCACGGCACGGTTGAGCTCGAGCAGTTTGAGCTCAGCTTGTTGCGCATCTGCGTTCAGACCCGCGATCATGCCCTGAAAATAGAGCTTGAGTTCGGTACGTGCGGAGCCGTTCGACACAGCGCTCCGTGAGGCAATTCCGCTCACCTTGGCCGTCTTGCTGTTCAGCCCTTTGAGCGGGACCAGCTTATTATACGGAACCGGATACAACCCCATGCGGATGAGCTCGTTGTGTACTTTATCGATGTGCGCCTCCAGGCTGGCGACATACGTGGCGCGACGCTTCGGCGCGCTCGTTCCGGAACTGTATGTGTCGCGACAGAGTTCGGTCTCAGTTGTGTCCCATAATGGACGCGCAAGGCTCCGGACAGCGTGAGGGCGGAACTTACACTTCCTGTGGAGTGAAGATATGCTTCTCGAGCTCATGATACCAGATCCTGCGCCGCTTGGAGATGTTGCCATGTTCCTTCCGAGCATTGATTCGAGCGTAAGGATGCGGTATGGAGCGCTTGCTCGTGCCGAATTGCTGGCCCGGTGCAAAGAGCGTCATGGCAGGGCTACCGTCGCTCGCCGAGGCGGGCGAGGGCGGTGGTGGAAACCAAACGAGAGGGGATCCTGTTGTAGGCATGGCTATCGACGGTAGCCCAGACGGCAGAGACTCCTCTGATGCATGTCGTGCGCTCGGCGCGAAGCTGCGCGACATGGCGTTGGAGCCATCCAAGGGGCAGAAAGGAGGCTGCCGAGGCAAGGGACTGTGGTATGCAGCTTCGTCAGGCCGCAAAGTCTGTCCAACGTTCGTGGGCGCGTGAGCGGATGTGCCTGAGTTGACCGAACTGAACGTTGTCCCAGCCGGCGTCGTCGTAATCTCGCCCGGCTGCAAGGCTCCAGCATCGCCGTCATACTGTCCGCCGTAGGATGGTCTATGAGATGCGTGCATGGTAAGGCAGAACTTAGAGGGTTCGTAGTCGCGATGCGTCGTTTGCTCTTGCTTGCGTGAGTAGGAGCCCTGGAGGACCGTTGCAGCAGAAGGGATTCTTCCGCCATCGCATACAGTCTATATGTACCCCAGGCCTTCCATAACGAGTTTAAGGGTGGGTAGGCTCCATAGAGGAGAGGCCAGGTGCTAGTCGAATCATTTCGCCAGTAACCGTCGTTCAGTTTCCGACCCGCCGGCGGTATGTAATCGCGGGCGCAGTGCTGGGGCCCATGCCATTGTTGGATTGATGCGTGTCATCCCTTTGCCCGTCCGAGCTCGCGGTCATCGATGAGGGCGCAGGTGTAGATGGGGAAGTACAAAGACCAAACCGCGATGGAGGGAGAATCAAAACTCCCGAGGCTTGTCTGCCAGGAACACCTTCACTCGTGGCCGTTCGTCCCGCAACTTCACTGATATACACCAAGTCATGCGCGCCACGCACGTTGCAGGGACACTTTCATAGTCTCTCCACAGGGTATATGCAATTTCGTGCGTAGAATCTCTCGAATTGTCGTTGGGCCCAAGCGATGTGCGCACTTTCGGTTCGTCATCGATCCGTATCTAAGTCAACGCAATTGGCAGCCATAACCACTTGTGCTACTGCCGCCCCGTTCGATCCCTTGGGCATTTTACTTACGGATCCTGCGCCGAGTCCCCGGAAAGGATCCCGAAGCTCTACGCCATATATCGCAGATCCACCGGATGTGCTGACGACCTCTCCGAGTTTGGCCGCGTTATTCTCACTCGCGTTCAGCACCTTCATATTGATCACGCAGCTTCTCCCATATGATACAGAAACGCATGGGCCGTATGCTGGGTTGCGCGATGATCGTATGTTCTCCGACTCCTCGCCGACAACAGCATGGATCCATTCCAATCTCTTCGCGAAACTGGAGCGCACCAACGGGTTTAAGTCTAGTAGCCCCGCTGGTCCCAGGCCATTCCCTGAGACAGTGGCCCGGAGGCGCGATCCAGTGGTGCACCCCGCCTTTCAATGAATTCGGAGGCGCCGATCAACTGACTTGACGCATGCCGACATCAAGTCAGGAGGGTTGTCCGGAGTTATGCAGACCCCAGGTAACTTGGTGCGCCGCCATTAGGCATCGGCGGCCCAGTAACGTGCAGTCGCTTATCCGGACTTTGCCCCGGCGCCAGCTGAGTCGCGTTCGGTTGACTATACCTGCTTAAGGCAGTCGGCATTCCGATAGATTGGCCGCCCCCCTTAACGCGAACGCGCACCGCCTTCGAGATCTTCAGGACGCGGCTGCTCTGAACAGCGTTTGCCCATGCGACTTCACCGTCCGCGATAGATATGATCAAATAGCGGTCGCAGCCGTTCCACGCCTGTTCCGGCAGGCCGTGTTCCAAATCTGCATGGCTACCCGTGGAAGGCGACAAGCCTTTCCAGCCCCGACGGAATTCAGAATCTCTCCGTGGCCTCGTCGAACTTTTAAGAGCGTGTGGGGCGTATAAAGTCGCATCCATTCGGAGAACTCGGCTCGTAAACACCGCGATGCCAGCATTCGACTCCTTCCCCTCAACACCCGGGTCAACCGTCTCCGGCATGTTCCCCATGGACGCCCCTTATCCCGTGAGCAACGAACACCGCCGTGCTGATTGTCCTTATAGTGACGAAGGCTACAGGAGGAATTCGCCACCCCCGAATGCTCATCCTGGCCCGCCAGTGGCTTGGATCCTCAGTTCCTGAGCCGATTTACGAACCCGTGGCTCGCTCATCAGGATTTACCGGATCAGGGTTACTATTCGCCGCCCTCAAGCATCCATCCGCGCACTGGTACCTACGCCCCGGACCAGTACAACGCGTTCGGTCCGGGACACCGAGGCCAACAATCGCAATCGACTTACGAAGAACAAATGTATGCTGTGACCCCGGAGCTCGGCGCGGATCATATGCACGATCTAGCTTTCGGGACTCCATTGCCCAGCTCCTGGGATATGTCTTTGCACCTTGGGCCTTTTGACTCTGAGGGCCGGCGAGCATACAGCAAGCCTATCGATGCGCATTGTTCACCTCCACCAGGATCCCCCACTGCATCCGCACACCGACGGTCCATGGATGTAGCGGGGATGACAGATCCCGGTGCCTCAGGCGTCTTCCCTACTCCCGTTCAGCTGCTCTCCGATTCCACTCCGCCGAGTGCCGGAGGGGCAAGATGGACCGGGGCACGAAGAACATCCACCTCGCAGTTCGCGCCCGAGCCTGCGCCCGATGGCGCACAGAGTTCGTCCTCTGAGTCTGAGGAGCTCCGATCTCCTGCCCGCGCAGGGAAGGCGCCACAACGGCAGAAACAGTCATTATCAGAGCTCCTCGGTTTTCCTGCCACGGATCCGTGGGTGTCATTTTCTCCTCTGACGGGCGGCGATCGCTCAAGGAATGGTAAAGGGAGTTGATTTCCGCACACGAAAAGAAGCGAAATTACCTGACAAGCCTGGAGGAGTACATCAAGTACCTGCATAATCAGATGGCTCTCGCGGGCGAGCAACCGCCTCCCCTGGTCCGCATGGACGGATACAAAGGGCTCAGCAGCCGTTCTGTCCGCGTGAGTAGCCCTCCGAAAACATCTGATTAGAGCCCGACTGACTTAATCGCAGACTATGCTTATACACATGCAAGATCAGAACAGGACGCTGCACCGACGGGTCCTCGAGCAAGAGCAGACGGTACGCGCCCACCCCAATGTTGATTCGGAACGCGCATCTCATCTTGTCGCAGTTCCTCGATCTACATCGCGAGCTGGCGTTGAAAGAGGATCAACAGCCATTCGCTTAGTGAGTTGGGAGCAGCCTCTGAGCCTGGCGATGTCGTAGTATGCTCATCCGATATGCTGTCCACGTTGTGATTGGTTGTAGAATATCATTCACGTGTATATGCTGTATCAAGTACATCTGTGGAATATAGCATAGGCTTGGTTCATCTTCTGTCGAGGGCAGGACTGAGGCAGGAATACATTTGGTTCATTCGCTTCTCTGGGTATCAAGGTCCGACCATCTGTTTCGATCAGCCGCGGCCCGTTTACAGGCTGGGCTCCTGATAAGGAGGGAGCTCTTCGTTATCGTCGTCAGGCGGATGGTTGCTCTGCGCAGGGCCGCTCCCTCCAGCAGCGAGGATCCTCTCCCGCTCCTCCCGCTCGAGCCGCTTCTTCTCGTCCTCAGCCGACTCGTACTGCGGCTGCGTCGCCGACGGACCCGAGCCAGCGAGCAGCCGCTCCCTCTCCTCCCGCTGCAGTCGCTTCTTCTCGTCCTCCGCAGACGCGAACGCCCCCGGGGAGCCGTACGCATGCATCGTCGGCGAACTCGTCGCGGTGGGAGACATGGCGTGTTCCTCGCGGAGCTGCTTCAGCGATCCGGTTGCAGGCCCGGGACCGCCATGGCTGCTAGCGCTGACCGGCATCCCAGTCTCTGCCACGGTCGGAGTAATACTCGGAACTTTAGTCTCCGGCTTCATCGGATCAATGGGGCCCGCGGGCGAGAGACTGGTGGAGATGCTAACGGGAGGAGACGAGGGGATGGGGGCTGGCTCGTGATTCAACGTCGAGGGGTCCAGCAGCGGTGACATCGGCAGCGAGCCGGTTGAGGTCGAGGCTGACTTCAGGCCCGGCGTGACTTGCGTCGTAATGGGGGTAGGATGCGTTGCGGGATGCGCAGGAGGAGTAGGGAAGGTCGCGGCTGCGTCGTGCGCAGGAGGAGTGATGGGGATCCCCGGTTCGACGGCTGAGCGAGCGTCGGTGGTGTGAATGCTATCAATCTCCTCCCTGTGACTCTCTCCGAAGCTGCGCGTGTCACTTCGGCTGAGGTCTGCACCGACGGAGCTCAGGTGAGGAGCCAGGCTGACCTGACCCGTCTGATATTTATCAAGAGCACTCTGGAGCGAGGCGCGTGCCGCAGCGGTGATCTGAGCGCCCTGATAGGGTTGCTCAGCGGTCGGTGGCAAAGTCGGGAGCGCCTCGACCACAGCCAAGGAAGCTTGAGCGACTAATGATAACTTTTCGCCGTACTATAACGCAACGATCAATGTTGAGAACACAACGCGCAAATCGTTACCCACCTCGCGCAAGGCCGTCCATTTGGCCGTTTCGCTGTCTCTGACGGCTTTCCTCTTCAGTATCTGAACCTCCTTTTCGAGGGGTTCGTCTTCCGTCTCAAGCTTAGACAGCTGGGCACGGAGCTCTGCGACCTTCTTCTCATATCCTTTCTCGCCGCCGTGCTCGATGCGAGCAATCTGAGTTTGCAGCCCAGCCCTGATGTTGCGCTTGGGCGCTAGATTGGCCTCCGCATCCCTCAGGGCCTTGAACGAGGCACGGGAGGTATCGAGTTTGGTCGCAAGGGTTCCTGAAAGAGATCCTTGAACGTAGTTCATGAACGCCAGCCGATCCGTCACTGGTTTGAACACGCATCAGCTGAGCGTATTCCATACGAGCGAAATGGCTACAGACCATCTTTAACATCTGGCTTCTCTTCTTGGCCCCACATGTAGAGCTCTTTGGAATGAGCTTTGGCATCTCTGGAGACGCTATCAAAGTCGATCGCAATACCCTTTCCTGTCGTGATGATCTTCTGGACTGGACTTGCCGAACCGTACTAAACAAGATGAGCCAACTGTCATCCCCGCGGAGACTTATCTTGCGCCGTATCAAATACACACCTGCTGACCAAACTGTCTAAGCTGATGATGGAGGGCCTCAAGGGTGTGGTTCTTGGAGCTTGATCCCAGTCCGGGCTTGCTCTCGCCGCTTGCGGTGCTCGCCTGGCCACCAGGGAGGTGTTGAGCGAGCGGGCTCGCGTTTATCGCCGATTGTGCCCTGCTGGCCATGTCGGATAGAAACGATGAGACGGGCATGTTTCTGTGTAGTGAATGCTGGTGAGCAACGATTGCAGACGAGTACAACGAGTGCGGTGCGCAGCCATTCGCGCAGTCACTTCGCGGCAATGCAATGACGTCATGAGCCACTGAGGCTTCGAACGCAAGAAACTTAAATACCGATTATCATTCTATTGTGTTTGCTCTCTCGGTATAGGCATCGCGTCAGACGGTCTATGTAGCATGAGATAGACTGGGAAAGGGAACAGAAGCTCTGAAGCACGAAGCTCAAGGAGCAGCAGCAGGTATTTCGCGGCCAGTGCGCGCAAGGGCACTCCGGATGAGCACACGATGCCAAGATGACGATCATCACAACAATTACGACGTTGCCGATAGCCCGTTGTTCTTACTCGACGATGGTCATACCGAACTCGTTTGCGTCCGGCGACAGCACCCGAGGCCCAGGGCGCATGTATCAATAGCCAAAGCTGGTCATTGTTGCTCCTATCCCAATGAATAACCAATCATCAATGGCAGTATTCGAACGTACCCAGACACTCGGGTGTGGTAATTTGTCCGATACCGCAGACACGCCAGCGCCCACTCCACCGAGCCATGAGTGCGACGAGGCCCCCAGGGTGTTGGCTCGGCTTATCCGTTGCCGCAACCTCTGATAAACTCTCCAATGTTACGGTTCGGATGATAGATCAGCGAGTGAGGCCACAACATCTCCAGATCGAGGTCCTCTCAACTATGTACGAATGAGGGTATGATAGGCAGAGTTCCCACGCCGTGTTGAACCAGTTCAAGCGGGGTTGTGAGCGGCTGTGTAACACCCCGTCACCTTAGATCTCCCTTGTCGAGACGATCTATCCGGGTTTCCTTGGATGCTAGGATGAATTAATCGCCGGGTCTGGCACACAAGTTGGGGCACAAAGTAAGCCATGGACTAACTCAATTCTGCGAGCGCGTATCCGAACCGTCTTCGGCCCTGCTTCGCTGACGGCCTCCGAGTTCATTAGAGTGTATTTGCAGGTGGTAAAAGTTCTCCGCAGTACGCAAAGATGTCCGTGGGGAGCCCCGTCAAAACATGCAGTGCATAGTCAACGTCTCACTCCACTTTGCCCGTGCTGAAAATACACTCTATTACGACAATTTTCCGTGGGTTTCTGCAGCAAGATGAGAGAAGACACCGCGCTCGGTGCTTCTCATATTCCAACGCGGGATCTCTAATATACCTTTTGTTGTCAACGGAGCGCCCGGAGCCACGTTTTCCAGACGGAGACGTCTCATCCGGGGAATATCTTCACTCTCACTTCTTTGGACGAGACCGTTGATTGACATTCCGTGCCTTCTACTTGGTTGCCCTGTGAATGGACACTTGGCAGATCCACCCACGGCATGTGCGAGTCTTTGCGCGTCACGACGAGGCCTAGGCATGCTGTCTCAAACTGTTCCTTTCTCGACGACGGGATTCAGCAACTTTTGCATAACTCAACGCCAAACCTGTCAATCTCTGCTTTTAGGCTGCGGAATTCCTCTCTGTTACCTGGGCGGCGACCATCCTGTCAGAGGAGGGATCAGTATGCGGCTAATGTCAACCGTCTTGTCCTGCGTCAGAAGTCGCTGTAGGGTCGCAAGTCGCAGTGATCGAGCTAGCTTACGGCCTATGTTCACGACCAATACATTTGGATCGACAAGGAATGGATCAGCCATTGTAGCCTGAAGTTTCGGTATCGCAGCACCCCTGCATTGCTCCGTCCATCCGCAATGTCGAGAAGCTACTGCCACTCGGAACTACATCGACGGTGGCTGTCGCCGCCCTCATGCGGCGCCCTGCCGACTATAGCCGATTTCCGCGCGCCCGGTAGCTACTGCCGAGATCACACCTGTTCAGCCTCTGTCTGGAACGATTGCTACCAGCATCGCAGCATCGCTGAAGTGCGCCAACCTTCAGGGTTCTCCCGGACGCGTCTTGCTCAAGCAGGCTGTTTGCTCAAAGCTCCTTTTCCCAGCGATCCTGCGCTTACGAGAGGCTGTGGAGCAACCCTGTACTGATCATTCCAATCGCCAGAATACTGGGATACTTCCTGCGCTGAATACCGTCGCATCCGAGCGTCAGCGACTTGAAGAACGTCAATGCCGCTCATCGGTATACACCGACTCACTCATATGCCGGCATCATCTAAATTCAAACTCAAAGTAGCTTCTTGGCCGATGGGCGGTTTCGCCGCCTGCGCGCTCTCGCGCGGACTGCCGAAGACCAGACTGTGGATTTGGGAGCCTAGCCCCATCAACGTGTCGGTGTGCTCGCGGGTATGAAAAAATCGCCCAAACTGCGACACGACCGAGCGCTGACAAAAGCCTGGGCGTCGTGGCGGCGCCGGCCTGCTGGTGTGGGGGTGGATTTAGCACGATCCCGCACGGCTTGCTGTCCCTCGATTGCAAGTTGCCACACGTTTAGCACCTTCTCTAACACGCACTGGCCACCCGGGTGCTGAATTCATCGCATTCTCAGGTCTCGGATCTGAGAGGACGATATCGATCGTCTGAAGTTCATATGCCTACAATTTGCCGTCGAGCCATCTGCTCCGTCGTGAAATGGGTCTAAACGCTGCAAGGGCGGTCTTGATGCTTGTGTCGTTCTCAGTCGTCGTTGGATCGTCCAGATCGCGGTGCCTTGCAATCGCACCTTCGCCGCCGTGATAGCAAGGTTAGCGTACATTGTCAACGGTTCCTACACGTAAAACAACGTTAACACTGTCCGCGCCCGGTCCAGTTCACTTGTACTTCATAGCGGCATGGCATGTTTCATGGCCTCTGAACCCGCTGGCTAGTACCTTGACTGTGCCTTCCTCAGATTCTAGCTGTTCATTGGACTCCCGGATCCTCGAGTCTCGCCACAATACAAATGAACCTACAGCATAAATACTCCTTCCGAGTGCCGATCGAGACCGTGAGGGTGCGGGATTCTCGGACGGCCCTGTGTTCATGAAGCATTCCCTATTAGTTCGAATAGATGGATGTCGTCGCGGCTTGAATATCGTGTATGGATCTACTTCCTTGCAGAACGGTCCAGCAATCGGTACATGATCCGCGCTCACGTTCGATTTGCATACGGGCATCAGACGCTCCGAACGGAGACTACGCGGACAACAAGAAAAGTGATAGCCCTCTAACAAGAGCAATAGATGAATCCATCCCGTCCCACCAGATCATACGATGATCTTTTTCGCCTTGCCCTTCTTCTCGCTATCCTTGTGGCTGAGGAACTCGACCTCCGTTGCCAATGGACCGGCCAACTTGGCATCCGAGGAGTATCCCAGAACGCTGGTCTTGAAGTGTTTGCCCATCGTCTCAATGCGCTCCCGCAGCTCCGCATCTTCAGGGCTTGATGGCTCGCCCTGCGGGTTTTGCGGAGCGGATCTGGTCCAGATGGAGATACGGTAGAACTGTGGACGTGTGGAGACGATGACGCCGGTCACAAGAGAGTCGGGGTAAGCGGAGGAGGAGGAGGCGCTGGAAGAGAGGAGGGGATCGAAGGTCTCGCCGATGGCGGCCAGCATGGTGTAGAGCCACATCTTGTCGACGTTGGGCCGATTCTTGTCCTTCGGCAGCTGTATGGACCATTTCCCACCGTTCTTGTTCGCATCATCCTCCCACGCAGGAATAATGCCATCTTTGAAGAGGTAGTAGTTGGCTTTTTGAGGAAGCTGGGAGGGTGGAACAATGTTGTTGTACAACCTGCAAGGGCAAGGGCGTCGTCAGCAGGGAAATTTATACGAAAGCCACTGGCACGTACCCCCAGAACTCCTCGACGGAGTCAAAGCTGATAACGCGCTTTATGTCCTCCATCCACCCCATCGCAGCTCCGGGAGTAGCAGGGTGGGGCGTGGACGGGAAGGCGGAGAGACTGGGTGTTTGTGGCAAGTTCCGGCCCTTCGTAGCCGGTGAGTCAAACCAGAGTGTCCATGGGGAGTACAGAGGATGCTGACGCAGACAGATGTAGCATCAGTAGGGCAAGGCGATGTGAAAGCCAGCGGTACGTACCTTGACATTAAAATTGGTAGGATCATTGAAGACAGTTCGAATCTGGTCCGCCTGTGTCTCCATATTCACTTCAATCTCCTGAACTTCTCCATCCTCGTATGAAGCATCGGCTTTCTCGTTCTCAGCCACCGCGGCGGCGAGAGCTGCATTCGAAGCTTGCTGGGCTTGGGGTGGGAGGGCGGCGGCCATGTCGTGCAAACAAGGAATCAGGAATTACTGTGATATAAGCGATTTGAATAGATATATGTCTCGGGAAGCAGATGAAGTAGCGCTGCGCCGAGATGACGAGATTGTCGAGTCGAAAACTATGGTGTGGTGATGATTGACTGTGAGTGGGAGTGCAACGGTTCGGCTGGAAACCCGGCAAAGGCCTGGGAATCTTAGATAACCGCGTGGATCAAGACTTATCAGATAGCGTTGGGTCGCTGACGCAGGTTGCCGGCAGATTCTCTCCCGAACGTTCCCTCGGGCTCACATATTTCTCCTCCTCCCCCACCAGACTGAGCCTCCTCCAGCTATGGAGCCGTTTCAAGCGAAGATGGTCGCCGCAGCGGTGGGCTCCACGCTCACCGCGTTGACCAGTACGCGGAGCGAATCCTTGTTTCGTGTCTGTTCTGACGCCGCGCCTAGTGACTCCTTTTGATGTCGTGAAAACACGGTTACAGACCCAACCTCCTCGGCAACAACCTCTTTTTCCGAACCCGCCGCCAAATACATGCTGCCAGCCAAATGTAGCATCCTGTACTCGCCAAATGTCGTCGCTAGCAGTGCGACCCGCAGCAGAAGAGATTGTCTGCGTATGGGATCATGGCGTGTTTAAGACGGAGCGTGTCAATGGCTTTGCGGATGCATTCAGGCATGTATGGCGCGCAGAGGGCATGCGTGGACTCTGGAAAGGCGCCGGTACGACATGGTGAGTCACCACGCCGACACATCCCGCACATGTTTTCATACCTTACCTAGGGTTATCGGCGTCCCCTCGTCGACATGCTACATGCTCGCTTACGACCATCTGCTTCATGTCAGCTTACCGCCTCTACTTCCGGAGTCCGTCGTACCGCTCGCAGCCGGCGTCATAGCTCGCTCTTCCATGACATCACTGGTGTCACCCCTCGAGCTCATCCGGACCAACCTCCAATCGACTCCGATCTCTGCTTCCAATCCACATACACTACGATCTGTTCTGCTCTCTGTCAGGGAACTCGTCCGTGAACATGGTGCTCGCCATCTCTGGAGAGGTCTCGGACCGACATTATGGCGGGATGTGCCGTTCAGTGGATTGTATTGGGCCAGCTACGAGAGCTGGAAGAAGGGCTTCGAGAATCGGGGACTGAGTGGCGGGGTGGTCGCATTCGCTAGCGGTGCTATCAGCGGTGTGACCGCAGCGGTGTTCACCTCACCGTTCGACGTTCTCAAGACTCGGAGGCAGGCGCTAGTCATCTCAGGGACCACCCCACAAGGCGTGGCAGTGTGGCCAATGCTTAGGAATGTGGTACGGACGGAGGGTATCTCAGCGTTGTACGCTGGCATCGGTCCTCGAATAGCTAAAATCGCGCCGGCATGCGGGATTATGATTGGTTGCTTTGAGGTACGCCCCTCGGTTCGAAACCCCGATGCAGTCGAATTTATAATTGCACACAGGGCATTGCAAAGCACCTTGCGAAGAACTAGCGACACAAAATTCGTGGCTGGATGGAAACTTTGATGATACTCACGAGTTAATGCGTAGATTAGTATAACACCGGTATATCATTATGCAACGCCACACTGTACATAGATACCTCACAGCGGGAGTAGTATTGTGACCCTCATGCCTTCAAAAAATCGACGATTGTCTTTCCTATCCCAGCTGGTTAAGCTGTCTCTTGGCATTCGTGAGCTTTCCGCCGACTTGATCCACTTCGTTGTCGAGGTCTTCCAATATTGAGATTTGCTCCCTGATTTCGTTCGAGATCGCCAACCCTAGCTGCTTCTGCCGTTGCAGTATAGCGGACAGGCCCGAAACTTGTTCGTCCTGCTGATCCATCTTCTGCCTCTGAAGCTGCAGGAGTCCTACGTCGTCCAGCGGACGCGTCTCCTCCGTTTCCTGTACCGGGGCTGGCTGACCGAACACCCGACGGGGTTTGTTCGCTCCCGCCGTCCCTCCCATCAACGCTGCCCGATCGCTTTGGGGAGCCTGCCTCGGTTCTGTCATAGCATTCATCCGAGACGTGTTTCGCGCGACGGATACCATCTTCGCCAGAGCCTCGCATTCGTCTTGCAAGCGGCTCACCATGTCCGTGCGCCGCCTAAGCTCGCCCTCCGCCATGCCCGCCATGCCCAGCGTTTCCAACCCCTTCCCTAGCGCACCCACGCGGCTAAACACGCCCGCGAGGCGTTTCTTCGCTTGCACATTCGCAGCATGCGCGCCGGAGACATCGCCCCTGTCGGAGAGAGCGTCGCGCTTGTTGATCTCGGCGCGGATGTCCCGGAGACCGGTCTGCAGGTCGGCGTGTTCCTCCAGCCAGGAGGAGGACGTGAATTGTTGACCAGAATAAGATCCACCTCCTGCAATTCCGGCGTCCGTGGCGCCCTTGCCAACGGGAACGCCTATGAAGTCCCTGAAGGCGAAGCTTTCCCGCCATTTGTCGTCCTTCGCGCTAAGGATCGCTCGGAGATACGTCTCCAACCCTGCTCTCCTTTCCTCCATCAACTTCGGGTCATCTTTCGACCTGAATATGCTGAGCACATGTTTAGGCGGTAAAGCAGCAGGCGGTTCGGACCCGGTAGACTTCGTGAGCTCGGTGTGTAGGTCGACGAACTCCGAATATCGTCTCCACATCTGCCACGAGCGGACATTGGCCTGGATTTCGATACGGTACACCACGTGTGGTTTAGGCTCTAGACGCTCTTCATGGCCACGGATGTAGATAGCTTGTATAGCGGTCATAGCGAGACGCACAGACGTCGCAAAGGTCAACTTGCTGCAAGCGGGAGAGAAAGAGTCGCATAATAGTACATGGTCAAGCCGCGGCAACAGTCATCAGCCCGAACCCGCAGTCTTTGGCTTTGTACCAACGACAATCACGAACCGGGCTCCTAGCGCATAGTATCGCCCTAGCAAACTACTGAACGCCCACCAGCCGCCCCCACGACATCGTAGAAACCGCGTAAATCCTGGAAACACCTTCTCACTGACATCCTCCATGCACACGTCACCATAACCCATTTCCTTCAAGGCTTGAACATATTCTTGTGTGGATATGACGTTCTGTCGAGGCATCATCCCCAACAATCTGGTGAAGAGCCTGACTCTCCGCCCTCCGAGGCTTTCCGGAGTGAAGCAGATGTCCGCGAGCGCAACACGGCCCCCTGGTGCCAGATGTTCGAAACTCTGCTGCAGGAATTCGCGTCTTGTACGGAAGTGGTAGGCGCAATCGAGTGCAAGTATCACGTCGAACGATGGACTGGCAGATGGATGAAAAGGATGCGCTCCAGCAGGCGCATGGTAAACAGCGTCGCCGCAAAGTAGCAATACCGGCGTATCGATGTTGAGCTTCCTCGTCCGTGCCAGCGCTCGTTCATAGTGACTCCTGAGGCTAGTGATGCCAGTAACAGAGGAAGGCCGAGGTATTTTGGGGGATGACAAAATGAATAACAGCGAGTCACCGCTGCCAAACCCGACATCTAATGCCGAAACAGACCCTCAGAACTTATTCATACATCTTAGCAGCAGACCTACCTAGGACTCTATCTCCAGCTTTGAGACGAGCCGCCTCCATCAATCTTGTAGCCAGCGCTGAAATCAAAGCAATCGAGTATCAATGTGAATCCCGTGGATTACGACTTGACCTAGTACCTTCGCAAGCCTCGGAGAAGATATCGGTGTCCTGCATTTAAGGAGAATGAGTCGGATCTGTTGACGACGCGTGTAACTTACAACCCAATAGCCCATGTTGAGCCCTGTACGATGTGTTCAGCAACGTCAGTTCTAAAGTCAATGAAAGTTATACATTCTGTATCTGGCGGATTTTGGCCATCACCAGGCCGCACATTGAGCGTGATGTGGAAAGTGCCATATGGATCCCGCGCTTTACTGTACATCGCGAAGCTTGAGCCCATGACGAATAGTGCTGCCAAGGTATATGCCGGCCCCGTCACGGGCAATATATATACAGGCAAGATGCACGCCGTAAGGATGAGCACGAATTTTGCAATACGCTCCGTCGGATGATATTCGTCACGGTCATCCACTAAGTCCGCCTGTCTGTTAGTCGGGGGGAGCCGCTGAAACGAGGCATATAACTACTACCTACTGTGACTGGCATCCCTTGCATGGGCCCCTTCGAGTTCTGCCACCAAATTGGGGAAAATTGCGTGACGAGACTTCTTCAGGTTGTGAAGTACGTATGGTACGAAGAAGAAATACGTCTGAGTGACAGCGATCAGCAAGACACGTGGGATTCGTACTGGATCTTAATACTCACGTCTGCTTCTACCAGCTCGGATATCTCGCAAACCTCGCTGCCGAGTTCAAGGACGGTTGGACTCACGGACCAATGTGTCCGTAACGTTGTGCCCGCGCCGGCTTTGATGACGAGATCCACCCCGTCTTCAGTGTTCGTCGAGTAAACGGGAAACGTCATGTGGAACTTCCAACCCAAGAAATTCAGCCTCTCCGTTACATAGTGTACGTCTTTGCTCTCGCCCTCGCGGCAAGATACGCATAGGGGACTGAGCGATGTGCTTGATGGCAAGTCTTGAACGAACTTGAGTGCGTGGTCTCTGGAGGCTTTCACCGTCGCTTTGGTATGAACCACACGGGTGAGCTTCAGCGGCCACACCATGGTGGTGTTCACCTGTATTTTCGCAGAAAGGTGTAGAGACGATGTTGCTCGGAGAACTTGAAGGATACATACGGTGGCATTATATCAGCTTTGATGGCAGATATTAGCGCACATCACTTGTGATAAGAGGGTGGGCAACGGTTGAGTTACAGGCACACATGCATGATGGATATCTCCTCCAGTGTTATACAGTCTAGCTTTACAATTGTACAAATAGTGCTACAAACTTTCATGAGTCAAAACTGAGGTATATGACGTGAAGCCGAGTGCTACGAAGGCTGGTTTTCTTCAGAGGTACCTGGTGGGGACGCGTCGAGACTGGCAGGGGTATCCGCGGTAAACTCTGCAGTGGCATGCCCGAATGATGCATCGGGAGCAGAAGGTCGGTGACCATCGCCCTCCTGCGCAGCTTCCGTTTCTGCTTCTGGGATAGGTTCAACCTCGCGTGCCCGGTTTGATTCTCCCGACTCTCTTTGCTCCGAAAGCACTTTGGACTGTTCCACGTGAGGTGTAGCATCATCGTCCATGGGGGCCTCCATGTCTTGGGCCTGCGAAATGGAATGCCCTATGCCCACTTCACCGATGACATATCGAAGGACGTCGCTCAGGGTTATAACCCCCAGCAAGCGACCTCGTCGACCGCCTTTCTTTTCCTCTTCCTACGCAGCGACGTCAGTGACCGATAGGTTGATTAAACATACGATGTACCTCGCCCTCAACGACTACCAATCGATGAACACGTCGCTTCTTGATCAGTTGTAGGAGGGTACCCAATGAATCAGATGCAGTGCATATGACTACTCCAGGGAAATCCGCAGATCGCTGCTTCAAGGCCTCGGATATTCGAAGATCGAGCGACTGATACACGCCAAGACGGACTAGTGTCTGCGAGTTAACCATGTTAGTAAGTCGTGGTCACGACCAGCCATGCAATCATCACATACAATGACATCCACAGTCTCGTACAGATTGACGACGATTCCATCCTCGTCAATGATGGGCACGGCTGAAATACCTCGCTGAGAGAACATATGGACCACGTTGAACACGGACGATGTCAGAGAGGCCGTTGCAATAGGCCAATACGGCTCCTTCGAGCCGTCCATAGTTTCCGGCTTCGAAGGAGTCACTTGAGCATACGTGCCGATGCCCAGTTTCTTGAGACCCATGTACAGTTGCGAAATCTCTTTGCTGCACTGAGAATTCGTCAGTTTCACGGTTCGCGGAACCTCAGTCTCCGACGCAGACTAACGTTGATGGAAATGAACTTGAGTAATCGATACTGAGTGAGCACCGAGACGATAACTTCGTGGCCCGTTTCTGAGTCCTTGTCCAGAAGAGGTAAACGGCGTGCATGGGTCTGGATGAGAAGCTTGGCAGCGTTATAAAGAGTGCTTGAAGGATGGTCGTGTAGTAAAGGAGGAGTTGCAACCCCTAAACTCTTTTCTATCTCTGAATTTGAGATGCAGTGTGAGCCATTGTGTACGTTCAAATTTACGTTTCCTACCTCGCAAGGACTCCAGACGGAAGCTCTCCACATCCGCAGCCACATTGGCGTAGTCGGAAGTATTCCAGTAATATTGTATCAGGTGTATAATGTCCGATACGGTGAGCATACCGGCGAAACACGACTTCTCGCTATTCCATAACGGGGCGGAGACAACGCCTGTACACTCATAAGCATGTGTCGTTCGGGGCAAGTAATAGTCTTACGTACCGTTGTTCAGCAGGCACTGGAGTGCCTTCTTTACTTCCAACTTGGTGTCAAGGACGATGATCCTGAAGCTGACAGGAAATGCATCGTAGGATATCCGACCCCTCAGAAATGCACGTATAGCGTTGAGTGCTGCGTCGTGCGTCTCTTGAGTTTGTTGGTAAGGAGGAAGGTGTGAAAATGTCCGGGGGCGCCTAGCGGACGGCTTCCGTCGCACCTTGGGTGATTGCTGGGTGGGAGACAAGGTCGCGTTCATGAGGAAGTAGACGGTGGTCGAGTGCAAAGGGTATGATCGCCGATATTCTCACACTTAGAAAACTGATCAGGCTCATTTCAGCGGCAACACCGTATACGTAGGGTACCGCTTACTTATCAGATTCAGCTTCGCTGAACTGTGCCTAGGGCCAGTCTTCATACTTATATCCTCAGCTATGTAAAATCTCGAGCTGACTCCACATGCGGTTTATACAGATGTCTATACAGCTGCCGAGAGTGCGCCTCTTGATAGGCATTATAATGCAACAAATATATACATATAGCTTTGTAACGCCGATACGAACGTCGGCGCGGATGCCCATTGGTCCTGAGGTCAGCTCACTGTACGTGTCGAGGGCTACTTACAGCGCGGAAAGATGATATATATCCGATCCACAGATGACTGAGCGCCGAGATCAAATACGATGATACGTATCTATCAAGTGTGATTTCGCTTTCGAATCCGGCGATATGCTGTGACGGCGGCGACACGGAAGGCGATAGCGCGGGCGCCAGCTTAGTACGCAGAGGCTCTCGGCGGGACGCTCATGGCGCTGTCCTTGACAGCACCGCAAGACGCAGCAGCTTCGGAGAACATTGACGAATTCGACACATCGTACGAACATACTGGAACATAGGGTATGGTGCAGTGTCGTTGCAGTAAGCAGGTATACATAGGCCGAAGATACGATGTAACTGCGTGCAAGATGGTGAAAGAGGTGCGCCAGGGTGCGCCGCGCGTGGCTCCAACGGAACGTGTGACTTCGTCACAGTCACCCACCTTGTATCATCCCTTGGTGGGCTTGTTCCCATCTTACGCAGCAGCACATTCCTAACCTCCGTTTGTACCCTAGCGTCGCTCTCATAGACATACCGGAGCACCATAACGGACAGCGATTAGCATGTCCTCCGGGACTGCAGATGCGACTGAGCGGAGCGCGTACGAGTGGTTCATTCAGCACGCGCAGTCGTCGGACATCGTTCACACCGTTGCTGAGGGCGTACATGTATCTCCGTTGGTCATCATGGATGCTACTGCAGACGTTCAGATACAGCGAGATGGTCGTAGGGGAGACAACGCGTGAGTCATGAAAGTCGTCTATGCGTATCTAGCACCTCATACGACTTCTCTAGACTGATGATTCTCCTGCCGCTCCTGGTCGTACTGTCAACCTTCATATTCTTGCTGCTTGTATTCCTTATATGTGTTCTGCTGCTTCGGAGGCGAAGAGGTATCCGGCTTCGGGATGGGGAACTCCCAGTGGACCTCAGCAGGGAGGATTTGGTCGAAGGAGAAGGAGGGTTTGAAGGCGTGGAATCCCGATGGCTGGAAACAGTGAGCGAAACAGAGCGGAGAGAGTACAATCGCGCCAAGGGTATGTTTTCTCTGTCGTCGCCGAGTATTAACCTGACCCTCGTCTAGATTACCAGCGCAGTTACCCCCCAAACTCATTGCCCACCGACATTACGTTATCCCAGTTCCTGTCCATCCAGGAAAAAGGCGTTTCTGCTTGGTCCTTCGAGCCAGACTACGAGACTATCTCTTCGGTTCTCGTCCATGCTAGGACTGAGATCACGTTCCTACCGGACCCTGAATCGGCCTCCAGCGTCCAGTCGAACCTTCCTCTACCGAAGTTGAACGAAGTGTACTACTGGGAGGCCAAACTCTTTGACCTTCCCGAAGCCACGAATGTGGCTATCGGACTTGCTACGAAGCCATATCCCCCCTTCCGGTTACCGGGGCTCAATCGCTTTTCGGTTGCGTACCATTCAAACGGCGACAAATCGTATAATTGGCCGTTTACGTCTTCCACTTTCGGCCAACAGTTGAAAGAGGGCGACGTGTTGGGCGTTGGATATCGACCCCGCAGCGGCACCGTGTTCTTCACTCGCAATGGGAGGAAGACGGAGGATGCTTTTGTTGGCCTGAACCGTTGGAACCTTTTCCCCACGGTTGGTGCTGATGGACCATGCAGCATTCACGTGAACCTTGGACAGGCGGGCTTTGTTTTTATCGAAGCGAATGTCAAGAAGTGGGGATTGGCTCCGAGCGTCGGAACCCTAGCTCCCCCTCCGGCATATGGCAGCGAACGTGGCAGCATTCTTCTTGCGGCAGGTAGTGCAATTCCTGTTATCGGCGCCAGCCCAACCTCGCGGACACCTCCAGAAGCTGGCGCAGCCTCCCCGGCCTCCGGCCACTCCCGACGTTCAAGTCGTCGCAGGCGACCGAAACCGTCGTCTGCTCCGGTGGCTGCGTCGCCCCTACGGACCACCCCTTTGATGGCGGATCAGAATCTACCGCATTCCCCGCCGCCTCCAATCACACCCATAGACGAGGAGCCGGACGAGACTCCAGGGGCCGGGCCTTCGACTTCTCCTCGGTATATCTCACCTACGGACATACCCTTCCACACTCCCGCGAACACGACTTTACCGTCATCTCCTCCCACAGAACCTGGCGAAGAGCTCTCTAGCTCCTCACGCTCTTCATCTCGATCGAGCACGCCAGGTGCGGACTACTTCAATACACCACGTCGCCATCAGCCTCACTCCTCGATAGGCTCCGCACGGGAACTCGCCGTCCAGATCCACCCACCCCCTGAGTCACCCATGACACCCAACCCGCCAACTCCGAATCAACGCGACATTGGTTTGCAAGCCCTGTCCGGCAGTCATGCCAGGAATTCTGAAATCCGCGTTCCCTCAGATACTCTCTCACCCGCGACGGCCTTGCGGCGTAATGAGCCCCCGCCACCTTCGTACTCGCCCTTGGATCCCTTCCAATACGCAGAGGGTGTCCAGATCGATTTACCAGCTGAGGTGATCGCGGCCGCGCTTGAAGGCGGCCCCCTTCCTATCAGTGCCATCGGGCAGAGCAACACTCGCGCGGAGAGGCACCGCAGCCGACGTGAAGGACGCAGTGGCCGCTAACTCAGCTTCGGTGCGCATAGCAGCCCCCGGTGTGTATGGTATGCTTGTTCGGTGAGAGTAGGTGTACCCACATTAAGCACAGACTTGGATCGCTGGTCGGAGATCCTGCACAACATTTGTAGTGATTTTTCGTCGACATCCTATTTCATCGGATAGAGCTCAACCTTCTTCGCCCCCTCATATGTAATCTAAGTAACGATGACAACAATAGCGGACACGGACTGCGAGCCTGAGGGACTTATTCACATCAAGTATAGCCCTTGGCATGGGGTAGAGTTCAGTATGTGTTCAGTGCACAGTAACGCTCACTGCCTTAGCCACTACTTAACCTGACCTTCGTGGAGTCCAATCGCCAGGCTCGACACCTTCCACTCCCCGAGCTAATATCGCTGTTTCACTGCCTCCTCATGGAAAAATCAGACCTCGAGACTTACCAAGTACAACTCGACCAGGTGGAGCTCGCACTACAGAGCGACCCTGACAACGCCGAACTAGCCTCCCTGCGCTCCGAACTCAAGGAGCTTATCACTCTCACCCAAGAGCACCTAGCCGCATCAGCAGCATCGACTTCGACGTCAGCGAACAAGGCTAAAACTTCCGTAACCCCTGCATCTTCACATACCTGGTCTGCGGGCAACGATTGCTTAGCCAAATACTCAGGTGATGGACAGTGGTATCCTGCCCGAATCGTTTCCGTTGGCGGCTCTGCGGAGAACAGGATATACAGCATCATGTTCAAAGGCTACCATACTACAGAACTTGTCAATAGTTCTGCGTTGAAACCTCTGCCGCTCAACTACTCAGGTGCCGGTCCTTCCGCGGGAGGAGGTGCGAAGCGCAAGTTATCGAAGGTGGAGGAAGAGGAGAGGGAGAAGAAGAAGAAAAAGAACGAAAAGAAGGCAGAGGTCAGGGCGCAGAAGTCCAAGGAACAGACGGAGAAACAGGCAACATGGCAGAAATTCGCAAAGAAGAGCGAGAGGAAGGGCATCCATATTGCTGGCGTGGCTGGTACGAGTATATTCAAGACGCCCGATAACCCTATGGGCAAGGGTGAGCGACGTCTGCCAGATATGATGGCGTCTAGCTGATCTATCCTCTCAAGTTGGAGTTACGGGTAGTGGCAAAGGCATGACGCACGTCATCACTCCAGGGAAGCACAAGTTCGTCCCGGAGGACGAACCCCAAGCATGAAATAGCGTAAGTTCCTTCCGCAAACTCTATTTTTATCGTGTCTTATCCTCCGCAGATCTGTCGTGGATGAGGTCATGAATATATGTGCACAGGTGGAACATCATAAGTGATGCCTCACTTTTCATTTGCTGAGTTATGGTCACAAATCACCTACTTGTCTCTATATGCATCATCTAGTCGCGACATGCCACGTCGAAAGCCACGCTTGCCAGCGTCATCTGCAGACGCCTCTGTACGTCTCTAATGTATCTCACGTCGGGAATTGCACTCATAACTATATACCTGTCGTCTGGGACGTTCTGAGCGTTCAAGGACGCGCTTGTGCTACCGATATGCCAATACAATGTCACAGTAAGTACGTGGAGTGTTCAATCATCCACAGGTGGACCACCATCTTGTCGTTCTGGCCGTGCATCAAACGTTGCTGCCAGAGTCTCGCTGTATGCATTTGCTATAGTACTCAGGAACGAGTACTCGGAATGGGTATCTCATGTTGGTACCACCGTCCATTATTGATCCCCACATGCGAGGGTAGCGGGCACATATCTCAGTCCCATCCCGTACCTAGCTTTACCCGAGGGTCCTGCTTTGCCTTGCTGCCTTTCGACCGCCCTCCGCTCCTGAAACCTTTCTTAGAGTGATGTTTAGTTTGCTGCCGATTTCTGAGTTTCTTGACCTCCAAGGCGACCTTGTCCTTGACTCGCGATTCTTCATCGGAACTTTCGGACGATGCTTCATCCTCAGGCCTCGCAGATGATACGCCGTAAATTGAGAGGGATGCAGCTTGCTCCTCCAGTCGAGAGGGTGAAGGCGAACCAGATCGGCTAGCAGATACTTCGGGATCCCTCGTTTCCGAAAACCCCGCACCTGCCTCGTCCGCTTGACCGGTAACTTCATCGTTGGAGTGCACTCCATCGTCATGCTCACTCCCACTTGTTTCCTCGTCATATTCCTCGCTATCTTGCGAATCGGACTCCGCTTCGTCTCTGTATGCGGATACATATTCTTCGAGGGCTTCGAGATCTTTCCGTTTGAACCCACTAGCAGCGACTGCGACATCGAGCCTGAAAGCTTCCTCGTTCTTGCTAGGGTCGGCCCCTTCGCGCAATGTGCTGGTAAACCGGGGGTATAACTTGCTCTCATACTGGAAGCGTCTGCGGAAGAAGGTTCGTATGCATTCCACGTCGCGATTGAAATACCTTGCGCAAAGATTGAGCGGTTGTTGCAAATGATGGACGTAAACATACATACCATTCTGCATTTTCATGCGAGGTACTGACCATCTGTGGAAAATCAATGATCACTGGCTCTCCAGTGGTTCGCCGGATCAAGATATTAAATTCATTGAAATCTCCATGAATAAGCCCCGCACGCGCAAGGCGGACGATGAGATCCATGAGCTCTGAGTACAGCTTTCCGGGAGATTCAACTTCCGCGACTTGACGTCTGCGGAAGAAGCGCATCAGTGATGAGCGGATCCGGGGAAGGGAAGACTTACAACGGGTACGCGTCTATGAGCTCCATGAGCACGCAGTGACGGGTTTGGTCGATCGGCCTTGGCACTGGGAACCCATGCTCGTGCAGAACCTATCGTAATCCGTAAATCCAGCATAGCTCAGAAGCAGGACCACCTTACTTTCATGAATGCCCACTCCCTTTGTGCGGAAAGACGAGATAAATACATCCATGAAGCAGACTTGCGTTTGCCCAAGTAATCGCGCTTCGTTTTGATCGCTCTGAAGGAAACTCGTCCTAACCTGATATAAGGATGGTTTAGGATAGGATGTAAACGAAGCCTGGACGGCAGCTGACCGGTGGAGTTTCAAGACCATTTGATTCCCCTCGGCATCGGCAACCACGTAGATGTCTACAGAATCACTGTTCAATATTTCGCGGGGTGTCATACGTTCTCAAGGAATTCAGGCATACCGGATTCCTTCCCTACACCTATTTGGTTGCCTACGGAGTACATCGAATCCCGTTTGGATAAAGCACGCATCGACAGGTAATCGTAACCTCCGTATGTCAACCTATATCCATCGTCTAGCTTCTCGTGAGCTTTGTTTTCAGAAGCTTCCGCTGAACAAGCTCACATTTCGAGTTTTGTACCTTGGACACCAGATTCCTCTTTGCTAACTCTCCTATGCATTTGTTGACTCCGCCACTCCTTAGCCCAGATATCTGCGCGATGAGAGGCGTAGGGACGACTTCATGGTTTTTGGATCCCATTTCCACAGCGGTGAGCACCCGGAACTGATCCGTGGTGATATAGCGTAGATCTGTTGCGTCGAGCCTCATATTTGCAAAGAGGAAAAGAGAGTTGCAGGGAATGCTGTGCTACCTGGGAGTTACAAAATCTGTCTCCAGTCCAAAGATAGCGCCATGGTACACCATCCACCTTGACAATCCATGACTATCTGCTGTATCTCTTTATACCGGATCTATTATGTCTGTTATCAACAAAGCTAAAAAAGTCGGTCGTGCCTGGTGCCATGATCCCGCAATGTCACTCCTTAGTCTCTGCTCAGCTATCGGCTTTGCAACTCGCGGAGCTAATCGGCCTCAAAGGTGTACCGGAAGATGAGGAGTAGGCAGAATCTTTGATAAGCCTTGGTAATAGGTTAAGAAACATACTGAGCATGGTGATAGATTCTCGCTTCAGGTTATGTGGTCTCAAGATTTGGTTGAGACCGAAAGACGACAAGTTTGGTCCTTATTCGAAGAGAACATGCATCAGCTGTGGGTGTGATTTCGCCGCGGGCTTGTGCACACGGTTCGCAATCTATCAGCTGCTCATCACCGTTCAAGTTATGTATCTTCGTCGTTCGGTTGGGACCCGACGTCAAAACGCCACGAGCTGTTCCATGTTGATTCTCGATTCCTGGTAATCAGGCATAACATGGACAAGGAGAGGAAGCGCAAGACAGGCGAGCCTTTGGAGTTGGCTGATATTGTGGCTTACACGATGTTTCGTTTCGAACGGGAGGCAGGGCAGAGGGTGTTATATTGGTTGGTCCTTTCGAAGCCGTCTCCGCCACCGGGTCTCATTGTCATTTAAGCTATGAGCTGCAAGTATCAAAGGCTATGTTTCGACGCGGACATGGGAGGTTGCTCCTCAGCAAACTACTCTGTCTGGGCCGGGAATGCCACATGGACAAGGTCATGCTCACACTCATCAAGGGTATGGTAACATAATGCTGCCACATTCATGTGGCTCTGACAGCCCACATAGCGAATGAACACGCCGCCGCATTCTACAGTGCCTTGGGGTACGTAAACGAATACGCTTTCGTACCGCTCGTATCGGCTCAGGCCTGGTTAGGTTCGTCGAAGACCCCACTTCACCGGGCTTTGTTGTCGAAGATCCAGACGACAGTTGGGAGGATGAGGATCTCGACGAGGTTGACTACATGATTTTGTCCAAACGAATCGAATGAGTTACACGACTTGCACGATCAGGCGCATTGATTTCAGCGTGCACTGCCTGTCGGCGCTTCCTTGCTGTTCGAGGGCATCGCGCTCAGCCTCGTTTCAAGAGCTTGTCTGCATTGTCAAAGACGCCAAGACCCGCGAATAGCGCATATGAGCGTGTACGTATTTGCTTGGATCACCTCCCGGACGCCGCCTGCAAAACTTCGATACTCTTATCTGGCGACCCCACATGGATCAACCGGATTTCGTTCGAAGTAATTATACGGATATAGGTAGGATCATTGGGTGGGTATCGAACAGTCTGAATGTTGTAACCTCTCTCATTCCTTTGTCACAGAGACAGACTACCGGGGGCAGATCTCATATTTTCATAGCAACGGAACGTCACAGCATGCTCGTAAGTGCACGTCAGCGCGAACCACTCACTAAGCTAAGCAGAAGCTGATGTCGGAAACGCAACCATCGTATCCAGTCTCTATGACACTGGCGTCAGCGTATCTCCTTAGGCTACCCTCACCTACCACAAGTCATCCACCAGGCGGCGTACGGGCCCTGAATTTGCAGCATCCTCGGTTATTTCCAGGTTCTAAACTCGGAATGGACTGGCACCCACCTCGGCTTTCGACATGATACCGGAAGGCTTCGCGGAGCTATCCCCACTATACGATCAAGCAATTCGCGGGCAGCAATATCTTCATGCTCTTCCTATGTAGATGCCCTTTCGCGACGAGACTGCCATGAGAATGCCGACAGCTGCAAATCCTGGACCTGGAGACCGCCCGCGACCGTCATCAAGCCCGTCTCAATCGTACTTCATGCAAATGTCTCATTGATCGAACAATAACGATGATTTCATCATGGCCTCATACTCGTCCTCTGCCAGAATCTATCCTCCTCTTGCATCCCATTCCTGTTCATTCGCTGCAGCAAAGTTTTGTTATAAACCCCGGTGGAGTTGAGTCGAAGAAGCGGCCAGAGGTTCGCCTGACTCCCAGCGGGGAGAACGTTGTGAGTGATGAATTATCATAATTTAGCGAACGATGGTCGTTCGCAGCCAATCACATTCAATTTCCAAGTCCAGAGTCGCCTTTGACAGGTAGAAGGCGCTCAGCCATAACTCCTATGATCATCGGCAAAGCCAGGTCAATCAGGTAGGTATGTTCCTTTTGGACATTCATCCTTGTTTCTCAGGATTATCTGAACAGCGGTCAATACCAGTTACATCTCCAGGACGTGCGCTTGGTATCAAAACAGGGGTCTGTCGATGTAGGGACCGCTGTGCAAGGTCAACCACGACAGGTCGCAATAGGGGGTCTCAAAGTTGGCGATTATGGGACAGATTATGGAGTGGATTCGAAAGTCGATTATGGTCGCGGATTATGGTCGAATCGAGTGTAGCGGCTCTGGAGCCGCTACACTTGCTTCGACCCATAATCCAATTCTGCTAAGGCAGGGCCATCGCAAACGGGGGAGCATCACATGACCGAAATTCTAACAAAATACCTCTTACCCTCTATCGCCGGGTGCACCAGCGCAACTAGCGTATTTTTGCTCCCATACGATGCTCAGGAAATGCATAACAGAGGGCTCTATTGGTCCAGATTTTTTTTAAATGAGCTCAGAAACAAGTGAACAGCAATTCAAGGCATCCATTGCGTGGGAATCAGAGACATCCTAGCGTTGTGATTGGTCGATGAGTTTCTCAAACTCCCTTGGAATGTCGTCATGCACGCGTGACAAGCCCCCCCGTTTGCGATGGCCCTGCCTTACAACTCTTCGGAGTTTGGAATCCTTCCCGCGTCACGGGGATGTCCATTCGTCTCTCACGGCGGTGGATCTGCGATTCTGACAAAAGGTGGATTTATAACCGTAGGAAAACGTGAATTTAAAGATTGGTCGCGGCTCCATGACCTATTGGTTTTCGTGTTAGTATTGTATTATGTAAGCGCTCTCCACCAATCAGAGCCCGAAGACAGCATAAAAACGAGACGAGAATTTGAAGTCTAGGTAAGTTAGAGGCGACGGACCAATTTTCAAGTTCTCGTTTCACCATGGATAAAAATTCATCTTTTGCCGGAACCCTGATCCCACCGCCGTGTCTTCGTCCTCACCATCCCCGTCGGTCTCCTCCTTTTGTGGCTGGTATCTGCTCTGAATAGTATACTTCCGGGACTCAACGACCTCATCGCCCATCACCAACCTTACCTGTACAAGGACTTGAGACAGCGAAGAAGTACTCAATGCGCATGGAAGGACGACACGTTCTCGTTCAGTACAGCACCATCTAGCTGACCACAAGCGGCAGCCAGTCCCTCGAATAGTACACCTTGGGTGTGCACATGGTGCCGGATATTTGGTTCACGAGTGTATTGACATGGTACGCATGCAATTCGGACTGCGGAG